TATAATATACTGAACTAGATGCAACATACTATAATATTCTCAACAAGATGTGTCTTACTATAATATTCTCTAGTTTGATCATGATGACATTTTAGTGCAGTTTTTAATGCAAAATTTGTAAGAGGCAATAAATTAACTTGAAACTATTAGTCAAAAATAAATTCATTTATAAACTGCAAAACACACACAGGCACTAGGTAGACCCAAACAAAAATTTAATCAAGCACATACACATCCAGAATGCATATACATAATTAAAAATAAAAGATTATAAAATTATACATGCAGTAGGAAGGTGAAATATATATAAACATATTGTGAGACTAAAATGCTGTCAACTATAACATTATTGAGCTGGGAACTTGTTGATGTGAAGAAAGAAAACTCATTGTTGAGATTATAACTTCTCTTGTGATACATGTTCTTGTATCATATTTCTGGGATTGCGATGTGTTGCTGTGGGATGAGGTGCATTCTTAGTGCTGACTTTTTATAGAAACTGATTTAATACTAGGGCTGTAAGTGCTGCAGAGTAAGAAACTTATATTGAAGTGCTGTGTGATGTGATGTACTGTATCATGTGGTGTTGAGGCATATGATGTATAATAGTGGGAGGTGAGGATGAAAATTTTTGCTGTTGTGGAGACCATTTATGACTGTCCTACTGAAGGCAAGAGAATGAACTCCAACAGACCATCAGAAGTTGCAATAAGACCCAGTTTATTTGATTGCAATTAAAATTTTCTAACAGCATGAAAGGCTTGGATAAAGAAAAAGCTAGGATGTGCAGGTCACACACACACAAACACAAAGAACATGAAGGAAAGAGATATAAGGAGCAAATTGTGTATCATTTATGTACAAAATCTGAACCACTTGAATAGCATGATGTAGTTTGAACATTACCAATAAGCAAAAGATGTGACCATTCATTATATAAACAATCAGTATAAGGGTCAATAAAATTATAAGGAGTGACCTGTAGCTCAGTAGCAGACCATAACCAGATTGGATTTTGTCAGTTTCATTTGGATTTCTGATATAACACAATCTGGATAAACTGGAGTTCATTGTATAAAGTTCAATACATAACTTTGGTCTGATATTTAAGGTGCGAACCTAAGGTGTTAATATTAAACTTGCAATTTACTTAAAGGATGAGGATCTAATTAAAAAGTTATAGTTTGATACTTTGATATACTGTATTATACTTAAAACAGCAGCACTGTTATAATATTGAGAATGATTTGACTCTGATGAGTAATCTTACAAGAATTTTTTACATTTTGTTACAATTATCAGTCATGAATGTTTTATAATGATGCTGTAACTGACTGACCTATAACATTTTTTTCTTGTTTGGTAAAGTGTTTGCTTGTGTTTTAATAACATCTAGTAACATGAAGGATATGAAAAATGAAACCTAGGATGCAACAGTGAGATTTGTGTTGTGAACCAGTGAGAGACTGTATGCATGTAAACCAGCTTATCTCAGTGACTAACACTTGGGGAGTGTGAGAACTACCAAAGTCCTCATCATCGGGTTCTGGAGGCCGATCTCTGGAAAAATCAATCTTCTTGTTGGTATGAGAATAAAAGCATTTAATTATTTGCATGCACTTCTTAATTTAGCTCCATTTACTAAGTCATAATGATATGGAGTAAACTATGGCAGTTACATTTATAAAGCACTTATTTATAAAAGAATAAGGTTTCAGCAATATTGGTAAATATTACTTGTTATTTTACTCTAAATACAACTGAGGATTTTTAGAAAGGCTGTTCTGGTTCATCATTACAGCCTGAACATAATACATACTGTATTATACAAAATTATACAATTTTTCAGCTATCTTAACAATTTGCTACTATCAATAGTAAATTGCTGCTAGGGTATCATGGCTAATTTATTGTTATATTTCATATATTATAATCACAACATATCAAAAGAATTCAAAACCCATTTGTCGCAGTCTGTACCATATTCAAAATTCATTTATATTGATATAAGTCACAATGAAGATTGACAAAAAGGTAAATCTCCCTGCTATTTAGGCTGAAATATGGGGTGCCTGGTTTTCAATCAGGCACTCAGGTGATCTGGACCACACCACCATCGTAATGTAACCCAGGGTTGGGAAAAAGCCAAGTCAGGGTGACCCAAAGGAAAAATTCACCATCATTCATTCCCTGGTTGTCTTGTCACAAGAGTAAAAGACATCATAGGTATAACAAAAGCAAGAGAGAATAGTAGGAACATAAACACCCAACTAAGCTACAAGCTTCAGGAATGAAGTGAACAACAGTACAGAAGCAGAAGATGCTAGAGAGGGTTCAAAACAGGATATTAATATGCTATTTCACTTCACGCTGTCAAAAGCTAAATGGGAGGAACAAGAGTTTGAGCTTAACTTCCGGAAATTCAAGCAGTAATTACAAATAAGTAATTATTCTCATTATTACAAAATGTGTATATTTTTACATTAAATAATTATCTTACAGCAATTTGCGAATGCGGTGAATATCCAGATGTGCCACAGCCTCAGTGATCTGAGAGAGTGGCTCCTTGGTCTCTTCTACATATTCTGCAACCTCTCCACTCAGCTCCTCCTGAGCCTTCTCCACAACCACTGCTTCTTTATGCAACTCATTGACACCCCTTTCATGGGTTAAGATATCTGCTGCTCCTGCAAGAGCAAAAAGGATTGAAAAATCATAAGTCCTATACAGTATACTGTACTGATTTCAATAATGAAAAATAAGTAGAAAGTTTGTCTAGTAAAATCTAGTGAAATACATATTTTATCTGTGTTTATATATTTTATATATTACATTACATAATGATTTCCTCATATGAATAAACATTTTTTTTTTTTTACAAAACATAACTAGAGGAATTTTTGAAAGACAAAATTAAAGAAATAAAAAAATTCAACAAACTGTTTTTAAGGTTTTCCTTGATTTTATCTATACTGGTGACAGCCTGTTTTTGTGTAACCTCCAACGACCCGTGTAAGTCACGAAGACCTTGGACATGTTTTTCCAGCTCTTCCACACGGCTTAATGCTGTTTGCAGCTCACTCAACTATAAGAGAAAATATAAATCAATATTATTCATATCTGAACCAAGGAAAAACATGACCAATTCACAACAGATGAATGTAAAATAGTGCGTAATATGCAATAAATAAGTATGGAGTTACTACATAACTTCATTATGGTTTCCTCGTCTACACTTGCATCAGGATGCAATAAGATCACAGTCAACAGGTGATATCACAATATGCAAAATAACCACAGTGAAAACATAGTGAAATTCCAAGTGTTTATGTGATTTCTCACATTATCAAGGAATAGTAAAAATAGGAGAACAGAAGACTTACAAGGCTGAGATTTCACCTCATACATGACCCCACATATGACCCATCCCTCCAAGCATCAGGAAATGAAGCATTATCTTCTTACAACAATCTTCTATAATGTGTTTCCCTACATGTAAAAGTTGTTTTGGTAAGCAGAGTATGCACACATGAAATTAGTGGGAAAAAAAAAAAAAAAAACACCAGAGAAACTGGTAACTCAAAAAGAGAAAAGTACTTGAGATACAAAAACAGAATTAAATTTATAAAGATTACGTAAATATTAAAGATGTTTGCAAATATGACATTTCCCAAAACACTGAAAAAGCTGGCCAAGATACATATATTCCGAATAGAGAATTTAGATCAAACATGTCTGAGGGCAATGTGTGGTGTGAATATAATGCAGAGAATTCGTAGTTTGGAAGTTAGGAGGAGGTGCGGGATTACCAAAACTGTTGTCCAGAGGGCTGAGGAAGGGTTGTTGAGGTGGTTCGGACATGTAGAGAGAATGGAGCGAAACAGAATGACTTCAAGAGTGTATCAGTCTGTAGTGGAAGGAAGGCGGGGTAGGGGTCGGCCTAGGAAGGGTTGGAGGGAGGGGGTAAAGGAGGTTTTGTGTGCGAGGGGCTTGGACTTCCAGCAGGCATGCGTGAGCGTGTTTGATAGGAGTGAATGGAGACAAATGGTTTTTAATACTTGACGTGCTGTTGGAGTGTGAGCAAAGTAACATTTATGAAGGGATTCAGGGAAACCGGCAGGCCGGACTTGAGTCCTGGAGATGGGAAGTACAGTGCCTGCACTCTGAAGGAGGGGTGTTAATGTTGCAGTTTAAAAACTGTAGTGTAAAGCACCCTTCTGGCAAGACAGTGATGGAGTGAATGATGGTGAAAGTTTTTCTTTTTCGGGCCACCCTGCCTTGGTGGGAATCGGCCAGTGTGATAATAAAAAAAAAAAAAAAATGAATAACCCTAAATGGATTAGCAATAGACAAAACATATCTTGGGTGAAAAGTAAGGTATTTGCAGGTGAATCAACAGAGGTGAGGGTTCACTTTATTGAACAATATATTCAATTTAAGAGAGAAGTCAGAAAAAGAAATAAGGAAAGTCAAATGAGAATATGAAATTAAGGTTGCAAAAGAATCAAACACCAATCCTAAGAGTTATAGGAATAACAATGGAGAAAAGATAGGCCTACTTAAATTTAACTCGGGTCAACTTACTGTTAGCGGCAAAAAAATGTGTACAATTTTCAACACCATTTCAATTCTAAAAGAATTCTTCCTCCGTAAACCATGCGTGTCATAAGAGGTGACTAAAATGCCAGGAGCAAGGGGCTAGTAACCCCTTCTCCTGTATAAATTACTAAATTTAAAAAGAAAAACTTTCGTTATTTCTTTTTAGGTCACCCAGCCTCGGTGGGATACGGCCAGTTCGTTGAAAAAAAAAATTCCATTCTGCTTTTACACAAGAGGATACATATGAAAGCCCAGAAATCAAGGATTATACTAGTCAGGACAAAAATAAATTATGCAGTATTGAAGTCACTTGTGGCATGGTCTTCAAACAACTAGATAGATTAAAGCCAAACAAGTCACCAGCTTCTGATGAGCTATTTTCAAGGGTTCTAAAGGAATGTAAAGAGGAGCTTAGCAAACCCTTAGTCTCTTCAGCATATCAATACAAACAGATACCATCAAAATTAGCTGATACCCACCAAAATCGATACCATAAATAAGTACCTAATTACTACACATAAAAAGAAAAACTTATGTTTATCTTTTCAGGTCACCCTGCCTTGGTGGGAGACAGCTGGTGTGTTAAAAAAAAGAAATTACCCAATACCCACCGATACCAATACCATCAAAATTGGCCAATACAGATACTGTACTTCACACCCCCACTTAGGTATTCATTAGCTTTATATCTGCCATAATGCTGTGCATACTATATAAGATATAATGTACAATATTATTTTTATGAGTCAAGTTATTTTTATCCTATACAGCTGTACAAATCTATTAACCAACTGCTAAAAATGACTTACTTTGGATTGGACTTCATTTTTCCTTTGTTGGAGAAGGTATGCGAGAGCTGCTACCATTTTCACCAAAGACGACACTGCTGGCAAGTGCTTGATGGCTGTGAGCTGCTCACAGTTCCTGAAACTTTGGCTCCATTTACTCTTTCATCAGCACAATATGATTCATGCACCCATGTAATAAAGTTTGCAATTTCGTCCTGGTTTTGAAGATTTTGTAATAGTTTATTCTGAAAGCAATGGATACTAAATAAGTTTCGTACCTAACATAAAAACTAAATGTTGATAATATAAACAGAAACAAAATTTACAAAGCATTTATTTATTAGTACAATTAGTAGGCAACTTGAATGTGTTGGAACTCTAATTTCATAAAATAAGAACAAAAAGAAAGGTAAGAGACCTCAAAAAAATGGTTAGTCATCTAGCTATCTACTGTTAATATGTATATATTATTACTTACTAGTAACCTTGGCCATAATCCAAAAGTTCTACAGGAATATACCATATAATTAGGGTTCACATGTCAAAATGAAGAACACATACTGGTATTACATTTGCCTAAACTATATTTTCTTTGACCTTTTTGCTCATCTTTTCTAAAAGATTGTCAGGTACACAGACACAGATGCAGCTAATGAGACATTTTAGTGTAACAACATTTCACTCTCCGGGAGCTTTGTCAAGCCATTGTAAACATTACATTAGTTGGTAAAGTGTATGGTTGAGTTATTTCTGAAAGAATTAAGAGTAAGACAAAGAGTAGGATAGCAGATGAACAAGGAGGCTTTAGGAAAGGTAGGGGGATGTGTAGACCAAGTGTTTACAGTGAAATGTATAGGTGAACAGTATGTATTTAGATAAGGGTAAAGAGGTTTGTGGCATTTATGGATTTGGAAAAGGCGTATGACTGGGTGGATAGGGGGGCAATGTGGCAGATGTTGCAAATGTATGGAATAGGAGGTAGGTTACTGAAAGCAGTGAAGAGTTTTTATGAGGATAGTGAGGCTCAGGTTAGAGTGTAAGAGAGAGGGAGATTATTTTCCAGTAAAAGTAGGCCTTAGACAAGTATATGTGATGTCACCATGGTTGTTCAATATTTTTATAGATGGGATTGTAAGAGAAGTGAATGCTTGGGTGTTGGCAAGAGGCATGAAGAAAGATGAAGAATCTAACACAAAGTGGAAGTTCTCACAGTTGCTCTATGCTGATGAGACTGTGTTTTTGGGAGATTCTAAAGAGAAGTTGCAGAGGTTAGTGGATGAGTCTGGTAGGGTATGTAAAAGAAGAAAATTAAAAGTGAATATAGGGAAGAGTAAGGTGATGAGGATAACAAAAAATATTAGGTGACGAAAGATTGGATATCAGATTGGAGAGAGAAAGTATGGAAGAGGTGAATGTATTCAGATATTTAGGAGGGAACATGTCAGCAGATGGGTCTATGAAAGATAAGGTGAATCACAGAACTGATGAGGGCAAAAAGGCGAGTGGTGCACTTAGGAGTCTGTGGGGACAAAGAACTTTGTCCATGGAAGCAAAGAGGAGAATGTATGAGAGTATAGTTATACCAATGCTCTTATATGGGTGTGAAACATGGCTGGTGAATGTTAAAACAAGGAGAAGGCTGGAGGCAGTGGAGATGTCATATCTGAGGGCAATGTGTGGTGTGAATATAATGCAGAGAATTTGTAGTTTGAAAATTAGGATGAGGTGCGGGATTACCAAAACTATTATCAAGAGGGCTGAGGAGCAGTTGTTGAGGTGGATTGCACATGTAGAGAGGATGGAACAAAATAGAATGATTTCGAGAGTGTATAAATCTGTAGTGGAGGAAAGGTGGAGTAGGGATCAGCCTAGGAGAGGTTGGAGGGAGGGAGTAAAGGAGGTTTAGTGTGCGAGGGACTTGGACTTCAGCAAGCATGTGTGAGTGTGTTAGATAGGAGTGAATGGAGACAAGTAGTTTTTAGAACGTGATGTGCTGTTGGAGTGTGAGCAAGGTAACATTTATGAAGGGATTCAGGGAAACCAGCAGGCCGGACTTGAGTCCTGGAGATGGGAAGTACAGTGTTTGCACTCTGAAGAAGGGATTTCAACATTGCAGTTTTATAACTGTAGTGTAAGTGCACCTCTGGCAAGACAGTGATGGAGTGAATGATGATGAAAGTTTTTCTTTTTTGGGCCACCTTGCCTTGGTGGGAGATGGCCAATGTGTTAATAATAATAATACGTAATAATAATAAACATTACTTGTCAAACATTACTTGTCAAAGTGGGAAGTCTGAATGTGCGTGGATGTTGTGCAGATGATAAGAAAGAGATGATTGTGGATGTTATGAATGAGAAGAAGCTGGATGTCCTGGCTTTAAGTGAAACAAAGCTGAAGGGGGTGGGAGAGTTTCAGTGGAGAGGAAATAAATGGATTAGGTCAGGGGTTTCAAATAGTTAGAGCTAAAAAAGGGAACAATAATGTTAAGGAAAGCATGGCGGGAAAAAAAAGGGCAAAAAATTTAAAAAGGGTTAGGGGGTAAAATAAAATTTTGGAGTGAAAAGGGGTTTAAAAAGGGTGTATGCCCCTGGAAAGAGAGAATTTAGGGAAGAGAGAAAATTTTGGGAAATGTTGAGTGAAATGCGGGGGAAAGTTTTTGAACAATGTGAGGTAAGGGGGTTGGGGATTTTAATGCTAAGTGGTAAAAATGTTAGGGAGGGAGAGAGGAAAATTTTGGGGGTTGAGGGGTAAATGTAAATGGGACCCTTTAATTGAGCATTTTAAAAGAAATTTGGTAAAAGTAAAACAAAATTTTTTTGAAAAAGAGGATAAATAAATTACAAGGTATGAGTAGCACGTAATGAAAGTAGTTTATTAGATTTGTTTGGTGATAAAAGGTTGATGGGGGGGTCCAGATTACAGTTTATAGAGGGGCAATGAATATCGGGTCATTATTTGTTGAGCAAAAGTTAGAGTAAGAGGTAGATGGAAAAGAGGAAGGTGGCAACAACAAGTAAGAGGGAAGTGAAAGTGTATAAACAAGGGAGGAGGAAGTTCGGGTGAGATATAAGCGACTATTGCAGAAAGGTGGGCTAGTGCAAAGATGAGTAGTGGGGGGTTGAAGAGGGTTGGAATAGTTTTAAAAAAAATGCAGTATTAGAATGTGGGCAGAAGTTTGTGGTTATAGGAGGGGGGGGGCAGGAGGAAAGAGGAGTGATTGGTGGAATGATGAAGTAAAGGGTGTGATAAAAGAGAAAAAGGTAGCTTATGAGGGGTTTTTTACAAAGCAGAAGTGTTTATAAGAAGAGCAGAGTATATGGAGAGTAAAAGAAAGGTAAAGAGAGTGGTGAGAGAGTGCAAAAGGAAGCAGATGATAGAGTGGAGAGGCACTGTCAAGAAATTTTAATGAAATAAGAAAAAATTTTGGAGTGAGTTAAACAAGTTAAGAAAGCCTAGGGAAAATATGGATTTGTCAGTTAAAAACAGAGTAGGGGAGTTAGTAGAGGGGGAGATGGAGGTATTGGGTAGATGGCGAGAATATTTTGAGGAACTTTTAAATGTTAAGGAAGAAAGGGAGGCAGTAATTTCATGCACTGGTCAGGGAGGTATACCATCTTTTAGGAGTGAAGAAGAGCAGAATGTAAGTGTGGGGGAGGTACGTGAGGCATTACGTAAAATGAAAGGGGGTAAAGCAGCTGGAACTGATGGGATCATGACAGAAATGTTAAAAGCAGGGGGGATATAGTGTTGGAGTGGTTGGTACTTTTGTTTAATAAATGTATGAAAGAGGGAAGGTACCTAGGGATTGGCAGAGAGCAAAGTATAGTCCCTTTATATAAAGGAAAGGGACAAAAGAGACTGTAAAAATTATAGAGGAATAAGCTTACTGAGTATACCAGAAAAGTGTACGGTAGGGTTATAATTGAAAGAATTAGAGGTAAGACAGAATGTAGGATTGCGGATGAGCAAGGAGGTTTTAGAGTGGGTAGGGGATGTGTAGATCAGGTGTTTACATTGAAGCATATATGTGAACAGTATTTAGATAAAGATAGGGAAGTTTTTATTGCATTTATGGATTTAGAAAAGGCATATGATAGAGTGGATAGAGGAGCAATGTGGCAGATGTTGCAAGTATATGGAATAGGTGGTAAGTTATTAAATGCTGTAAAGAGTTTTTATGAGGATAGTGAGGCTCAGGTTAGGGTGTGTAGAAGAGAGGGAGACTACTTCCCGGTAAAAGTAGGTCTTAGACAGGGATGTGTAATGTCACCATGGTTGTTTAATATATTTATAGATGGGGTTGTAAAGGAAGTAAATGCTAGGTGTTTGGGAGAGGGGTGGGATTAAATTATGGGGAATCAAATTCAAAATGGGAATTGACACAGTTACTTTTTGCTGATGATACTGTGCTTATGGGAGATTCTAAAGAAAAATTGCAAAGGTTAGTGGATGAGTTTGGGAATGTGTGTAAAGGTAGAAAGTTGAAAGTGAACATAGAAAAGAGTAAGGTGATGAGGGTGTCAAATGATTTAGATAAAGAAAAATTGGATATCAAATTGGGGAGGAGGAGTATGGAAGAAGTGAATGTTTTCAGATACTTGGGAGTTGACGTGTCGGCGGATGGATTTATGAAGGATGAGGTTAATCATAGAATTGATGAGGGAAAAAAGGTGAGTGGTGCGTTGAGGTATATGTGGAGTCAAAAAACGTTATCTATGGAGGCAAAGAAGGGAATGTATGAAAGTATAGTAGTACCAACACTCTTATATGGGTGTGAAGCTTGGGTGGTAAATGCAGCAGCGAGGAGACGGTTGGAGGGAGCGGAGATGTCCTGTTTAAGGGCAATGTGTGGTGTAAATATTATGCAGAAAATTCGGAGTGTGGAAATTAGGAGAAGGTGTGGAGTTAATAAAAGTATTAGTCAGAGGGCAGAAGAGGGTTGTTGAGGTGGTTTGGTCATTTAGAGAGAATGGATCACAGTAGAATGACATGGAAAGCATATAAATCTATAGGGGGAAAGGGAAAGGCGGGGTAGGGGTCGTCCTCGAAAGGGTTGGAGAGAGGGGGTAAAGGAGGTTTTGTGGGTAAGGGGCTTGGACTTCCAGCAAGCGTGCGTGAGCGTGTTAGATAGGAGTGAATGGAGACGAATGGTACTTGGGACCTGACGATCTGTTGGAGTGTGAGCAGGGTAATATTTAGTGAAGGGATTCAGGGAAACCGGTTATTTTCATATAGTCGGACTTGAGTCCTGGAAATGGGAAGTACAATGCCTGCACTTTAAAGGAGGGGTTTGGGATATTGGCAGTTTGGAGGGATATGTTGTGTATCTTTATATGTTTATGCTTCTAGACTGTTGTATTCTGAGCACCTCTGCAAAAACAGTGATAATGTGCGAGTGTGGTGAAAGTGTTGAATGATGATGAAGATTTTCTTTTTGGGGATTTTCTTTCTTTTTTGGGTCACCCTGCCTCGGTGGGAGACGGCCGACTTGTTGAAAAAAAAAAAAAAAAAAAATTACTTGCATCTGTGTCCAATTTGCTTAACATTTTGTCAGTAATTCTACCATCACCTTCTTTAAAAGAGTTTGTACAAAGGACTCATGCTGATCAGCTTCATGCTGGGGCAGACATACAACTCGACCTCGTTGTGCCACTGGTCTTAGTTCTCGGAAGAGAGGCCACACTTCCTCATGTGACCCAGTCACTACACATAACCTAAAAAGGAGAAAATTTTAAATATAAATATTGCTAAAAATGACAAATATATAAATATTGAAATAAACTGTAAAATAGGTCACCAGCTGCTGAGAGGATGCAGTTGACATTTATAGTCAAAGTCCAGACTAATGCCAGAGTTCCTCACTGACTGCCTATTCAATAAAGTTTTTGCTGTCTATGGCTTGTAAACCTATATAGGTTTATTGTATATTAATGATGTATAAAACTGTCACCCTGCCTCAGTGGGATACAGCCAGTTCATTGAAGCTTTGAATATAAAACTGACAAGTAGGTGACCAGCACACATGTGCAACACATGAAAATCTTTACTGTGGAGATGCTTCACCAACCAGTGGATGTATCAATCCAATCACCTCAATCTACTTCTTCATGACTTCTACCATCTCCAGCATTGTCTGTAGTGAACTGATAGAGATACTAGTTGACAATGTTTCCAGAGTAACGACATCCAAGTGTTGCACACGTGTTTTTCATTTGAAATCTATGTCCCATGTGTGTGTTTCTGCTGGAAACATTCCCACACTCACTCTTGCTCTCCTGTGATTGATCTGTTACCTACCACAAACATATGTGGTACTTTAAGTATGCAGGTAGTTAAGTCGTATACAGTAGTGATTCCATTGTACAAATTATAACAGTTATGCCCTGGTAATAATATATATTAACTCAAGACAAAAAAAAAAAATGGTTTAAGACAATGGTCGTCTTGCCAGAAATAAACTGACATTACAGTTCAGATGAGACTGAGCTGTTACATCCTCACCCCTCCTTCAGAGTACAGGCATTATAAGATAAATTCAGTAGATTTTGATGCACAATATATTTATCATATACATACTTTATTTACAAATTTGCTCACCTTGTAGGGCCACCATCACCCTGTGCTGCCAGTTTCAAAACTGCTTTCAGAACATCTGTAAATAAAAAGGCCTCTCAGTAATAAATCATAAAATATAATGATTTAGAAGATCATGTTCCCCACATAAGAACATAAGAATGTAGGAACACTGCAGAAGGCCTACTGGCCCATTCGAGGCAGGTCCTTATCAAAACGACATCTACCTAAAGCTACTCAAGAAACAACTCTCACACCCCCCAACACCAATCAAACCCAGCCCCTCCCACTCATATATTTGTCCAGTCTCTTCTTAAAGCTACCCAAGGTCCTAGCCTCTATCACCCCACTGGGAAGACTGTTCCACGCATCTACAACTCTGCTAGAAAACCAGCACTTACCTATGTCCTTTCCAAATCCAAACTTATCCAACCCAAATCCATTATTTCCGGTTCCCACCTGGTTCGACACCCTCAGCACCTTACTAATGTCTCCCTTGTTTATGCCCGTCATCCACCTATACACTTCAACATTGGAGAAACTGTGTATAATTACCTATCTGTGGAAGTAGGGGGTTCATGTCTCAGTTTCTAGACCTGTAGAAGCTGTGTTAAAGGTAACTCTCATTACTTTGGCCACATTCATATAATAATATTACAGTTACTTCATACATTTAATGAATAAGAAACTCATGTACCATATGGGTATTTTAATTGTGGAAACGTTTTGCCAGCCAATGGTTTCATCAGTCCAATACAGAAAGGAATGGTGGAAGATGAGGAGCCTGAGGCAATCAGTCTCTCATCCTGGAAGTGATGTATTTAGTTCATCAATGTTAAAATAAAGTATAACATATGTACAGAGAAGGGTCTTATACTGCAAACAGGTGAGATGAAGCAGTTGGAGGTGACATCACCAATAGAGAAAATTACTAGTGGAAGTAGGTCATCCCTATAGGTAAGGCAAGCATTGAAGAATTCTTTGTATCAAGATTCGAAGACATTGTGCAAGAAAGTTATAAAATACTGACAAGATGAAAGTTAAGACACATATGCAACATCTGGTTGTCTTTATTGTAGATGTTTTGCCATCCAGTGGCTTTATCAATACAGATTCTAGGACATAATATAATTCTACTGTCTTCTAATTCTAGGACATAGTATAGTTCTACCATCTTCTAATTATTCCTGAATCTGTATTGATAAAGCCACTGGATGGCGAAGCATCTACAAAAAAGATAACCAAGTTCACAGACTAACTTTCACTCCAAGGCATTGCCATACGGCAGGGATTATTACATAAAAGGGTTTGCAAACCGACAGGTTTTATAAAGGAACCCCTTGTGCAACACACAGTATATTTTTTGTGGAAACTTCCCCCCACCTAGCCTCTCAGTTAATATGGAGAAGAATGGGGAAGATGATGGATTTTTATATAATCAGCCTCCGGGAAGATAACAGTAGTGTGTTTTCCATTAATGCTTCCTAATTTTTAGTATGCCTACTTTTTACTTGAATTTTTTCCCCATGATGCTGCCTCAACGTTGGGTCTGTTAGCAAACCACATCCCTGTGTGCTTTGTTTTAATGTTAACATGACTTCCCTTCTCCGCCTCTCTCCTTTTCAATGGGAAAGGCCAGAAGCTTCACTCTCTCTCACTGCTCATCTGTCTGCAGTATATAAGCTCCTTCTCCATGCATATACTGTACTTTTATCAAGATTGATAGACTGAACATTATCATCTTCAGGCTGAGGAACTGATAAACTCCTTCCTTATCTTCAACTGTTCTTCTCTGTATCGGACTAATGAAGCCACTGGCTGGCAAAACTTTTCTATAATAAAGATGCCCAAGTGCTACACAAGTGTCTCAGTCATCAACTTGTCAATTTTCCAAACCATTTATGTAATATACTTTTTACATTAATCTTTTAACACCATTTGTTTATCTCTAACTTATATTCACAAGCTTCCTTGATCCACACAGATCACTTTTGTCTTCATTTAACTTTTTTTCATTACCATCTGAAGTCTTGACAATTACAAATTCATTCCTTACAGTGAATACACTTACCATATATAATAAAAACAATAACTAAGCATAATATACTTTTATATATGGCCAGTGTGTTGAATATACTTTTCTTGCAAAAAAAGCATTTTCCATTATAAATGAAAAGCAGGTCAATATTAAAACAGAATATAAAATAACGGGAGCAATGGGCTAGTAACCCCTTCTCCTGTAGACATTTACTAAAAAAGAGAAGAAGAAAAACTTTATAAAACTGGGTGAAAGTTTTTCTTTTTCGGGCCACCCTGCCTTGGTGGGAATCGGCCAGAGTGATAATAAAAAAAATAAATAAAAATATAAAATAACAACAAAAAAAGGAATATCTTATTACTAAATCCCTTAACCCTTTCAGGGTCCAAGGCCAAAATCTGAAGTGGTGCCCCAGTGTCCAAGAATTTAAAAAAAAAAATTATTTTTTCTTATGAAATGGTAGAGAACCTTTTTGTGAAGGGAATAAAACAAAAAGTGTGAAATTTGATGGAAAATTGACGAAATTATGCTCTCATGAATTTTGATGTGTCAGCGTTATTTACGAATCGGCGATTTTGCCAACTTTGACTCCCATTTTAGGCCAATTACTTAATTCCAGTCGACCAAATTCTTAGCTATTTCACTAGTATTACTTCTATTCTATCGACTGAGCACAAGAAATCGCCAAGTCAACAGTTTCAACTACAAAATAAAGTGATCGGAAATTAGTAATTTGGCCAATTTAACACAAAGTTCAAAATATTCCAATTTCAAAATAGGGTCCAGAATAAACAATGTAGGTATTCCTGGCACTAAACTAACATTTCCTCTGTTCATTAGTTATGTTTTGAGGCTTTACAAATAAATTCCATTTTGATTTTTTATTCACAATGAATTTTTATTCACACCAAAAAATAGATTTACTGTTATGCAATATTGTAATAATTGTATAAATATCATCACCACATTTGTGAATGTATATTAGACTCATCAGCTGGCATGTATTAGACGTGTGAGGTTGTTTGTTTACTCTTGAACATCGGCAAAAATTTAACATTTCTGCTATTTTGAGCTCAGTTTCAAGTCATTTCCAGTGCTAAAACCAATCAAAATCATCTCTATTTCTGTAATGTGTCTTCCATTCTATCAAATGAGACCAAGAAATCGCAAACACATCTATAAAAAACATACAAAAAACACTGCAAAGTCGCTGTTTTAATCGAAAATCACGGTCTCAGTTTTTTTCTCTCATTATACACAGTGTGCTGCAGGATTTGTTTTATGTGGTGCACACATACCACATAGATGTATTCTCTCATATCTAGGCCCAAATTTACCACTCGCAGTTTATCAGAGTGAGCTGAGCTCATGGCGTAGATCTACGGTTTGGACCCTGAACGTAAAGCCGCAGATCTATGGGACGGACCCTGAAGGGGTTAAAAACAATTTTGTTTAAACTTTAGATATTTAAGAGTGACAAATATTTCACAAAACACCTGAGAAAATATTAGCACATTCTCATAAGTGTTGTGGAGCTTACACCTTGATCACCTAATCAAGCTCCCAGAACCTTGATTCCAGGACCTTGCTCTCTGGCCCTCACCTGAAAATTTAAGAAATGTAGCAGGTACGTGAACCAAAGTGTGAGGTGAAGACAATAGCTCTTCACTTGTGTTGCCTCTGCTACCCTCACACTTCAACACTTGCAACACTTCCATTTCAGTATCACCTGAGACTTTTCTTAATCCTAGAAAATAAAGAAAATTTAAATTCTTATATACATTACATTATTTTTCCTAAAATGTCAATTACAACTACTGAATTTATGGATAATAAAAATTTGCAATCTCTGTCTCCAATTTTAAAGTATTTATTCTATAATAACTATATTACAGGTAAAACAAAACTGGGTGAGAAAAAATTAAGGATAAGATGAAGAAATTATAGGTAGTAGGTTGGTAGACAGCAACCACCCAGGGAGGTACTACCGTCCTGCCAAGTGAGTGTAAAACCAAAGCCTGTAATTGTTTTACATGATGGTGTCTTTTGTCTGTTTCATAAACATGCAAGATTTCAGGTACATCTTGCTACTTCTACTTACACTTAGTCACACTACACATACATGTACAAGCATATATATACATACCCCTCTGGGTTTTCTTCTATTTTCTTTCTAGTTCTTCCTTTCTTTCTTTCCTCTTATCTCCATAGGGAAGTGGAACAGAATTCTTCCTCTGTAAGCCATGCGTGTTGTAAGAGGCGACTAAAATGCCGAGGGCAAGGGGTTAGTAACCCCTTCTCTTGTGTAAATTACTAAATTTAAAAGGAGAAACTTTTGTTTTTCTTTTTGGGCCACCCTGCATCGGTGGGATACGGCCGGTTTGATAAAAAAAAAAAAAAATGGGAAAGTAAAAGGGAAGTACAATGCTTGCACTTTAAAGGAGGGGTTTCAGATACTGACAGTTTGGAGGGACCTCTAAACTGTTGTATCTGAGTGCCTCTCCAAAGACAGTGATAATGTATGAGTGATGGTGAAAGTGCTGAATGATGATGAAAGTATTTTTCTTTCTTTTTGGGGGTTTCTTTCTTTTTGGGTCACCCTGCCTCGGTGGGAAATGATCAATGTGCTAAAAAAAAAAAAATGAAGAAATAATGTGGGTCAGGTTTCATGGAGAACAGTATTATCTTTTTAAGTAAGAAGATGTAGAGTACAGGTGCTCCTTGATTTATTATGATTTGACTTATGATATTTCAGCTTTACAATGGTGCAAAATCTCTTACTTTGGAGATGAAATTGAGATAATTACCCAGCATGAAGGCAGCAGGTCCATAACTTGCATACATTTATTTACTTTTCAAGGCTGGTATTTTAGTTACACTAAATGTTTATTTATTATTCAATGGCATTAGTTATTTATACATTTATTTATTATGCACATCGTATTTATAGTTGACTTACGACTAGTTTGCGGGAACGTATCCCCATCCTAAGTCGTGGAGCACTTGTATAAGGAAAAACAGCAAGTCTTAATTAATTTCAAAATTATGTACCTAGATATGTGGCTGCCAGTGATACAACAGTATCCTTATCTCCTGATGATGGTCCCACGATGAGCAGAAAAGGCAAAATATGGGTTTGAACAAGGGACTGTATTGCATCTACCACCAGAGCCGTCCCTAGAGCCACACCTCTATGGCCACACACACACTCACTCACACCATATGAAACCAGCACCTGAAGGAATGTTAAGTTTTAAGAATGTAATACTGTATCAAAAATTTTCAGAATATTAATAGAGATTACTATGAAAAAGTAATAAACAATAGTTAAGAGAGAATATAAACATCACAATACTGTGGCTGGAACAATTCCCAAATAATTGTCACTTAGGAAAGGAACCTTATGAAGATGTTTTAGCCTAAACTGCACCACTGTCAATTCACAACCGAGTTATTTGTCATTTGTGACCTGACGATGGTCCAGGATGGACTGTAATGTCATCGTAAGATTCCTCTCCTAAGTGCAGGTTATTTGTGAATACTAATCAATAGTAAGACAAACAAATTCACATATACAAGATTATTATTAAGGCAAGTAGCCTTCTGAGAAAGTTCCTGTCAATCCTTAACTGATTACAATGGAAAGTTAAGAAATAATGATGCAAATATGTGCAAATGCATATTTTATTGTATTTACTGTAAAAATTACTTTTTTTTTTTTTTTTTTTGCCAGAAAACAAAAGTGGTAATTCAAAAAGACTTTAATAAGGGAAAACTTTTCACTCATAATTGGAGTTTATCACCACTTGTCAAATTAACCTATCATCTACTCAGAAAACAAAAGTCTATTAATTATATGGCTGTGTTATTATCTGACAACTCCCTCCTCCTCCTCCTTCACCCTTTACCTCAAATAATAAAGTGTTTAATAAATAGAGCCACTGTTTACAGTTACTTTTTAATGATTAGATTATTTTTAAACAAAAATAACTATTTCCTCAATTAAAATGTTAATACTTCTGAGCAAATACTACCTCACTTAGACAGAAACAGTTGTAATATATTATTGTGACTGTTTCATTAAATGACAATTATTTCAAGGAAACTTAACACTGTCAAGAAACAGCTGCCAAGTTTTCATATTTTCAGTAATGTAATGTACACACGATTCCAATTTAAACGTCTACCACTGCATACTTGGAAAGTGGTAAGAATCACAGTCAGAACTGTTTGTCAAGTAATAAATTAATACAAGTAAAATATAAACAAATTAAACCAATTTAACTCAGTGGAACTACAAATTTTCAAGAATATGTGAATTTGTGCAAAAATTGAAGCTAACCTTTGTAATTTCTTCTGATGCTTTTGTTTCTGTTAGATATTTGGGAAGATTATCATGAGGTGTAGACTTGCAGCTACTACAGCCTGGGGGCCAGACAGGCACAGGTGGCACCTTTGGCACATTAACTATTCCATTACATCCTTGAATGATACTTTTCTTAATTTCATGCCACACACACCCCTTGTAGCTAGTGGAATGTTAAAGAAACAAAATTTTATACTTACAGTAATTGTAATTTTGGATAAAACCAATTTCTTGAAGTGCAAAAAATAAGATTTTTAAAACTTCCATTTAAAGATGCAACTTTTTGCCACTGAGTTTCACAAAAAAAATTAAAATAATTTGTTATTTTAATATGCAATAATTGCGAACGAATTACAAAAATATGCAAATAACCACAGGAAAGTTGAATGATAGGTCTAGACCTTTCATGTTACATCAACACATCATCAGAGCTTGCAATGTTGCAGAAATGAGTAGGAAGTTGAAGAAGTTTTGGGTTCAGGAAAGGGGACTGTATCCAGATAGTGGAGAGAGCAGTTTTTTCCCTGAACAAATCTGCCTGGATTTCCCTATACATTTCTGCTACAATGCAAGTTCCTGATGTTTTAAATTCCACATAAAAGGCCTAGAACTATCTTTCAACTCCCCCCTGTGGGTATTTTGCTCATTCTTTAATTTTATAACCAAGGATGACTTTTGGGCAACGGCTATTCTAATCTTGTATAATTGACACTTCCACTCATATATCCTCATATTAAAATTTATACTTTCTTCATAGTGACAGACACACAAAACTGTTTACTGGTACTTTCCTTCAAAAAGACAAACCCAAATTCCCCTTTATTTTCATAAACATCCAAAAAAATAAGAGTACATAAGTGATAATTTGCACTGCACCTTGTTGGAGAAACACTGATAACAACACTTGTGAACTGACAGCATGAAGCCAAGTATTGAAGATATACACTCCAGAGGATGAAGAAGTCGAAGACAATGACAATGAAGAAAATGTTGCTTTGACACTCGCAGCTATGTGCCATAGAATGATGAGTTTATTGGCCGGGGCAAATGGTTCCTCTTGACACTTCATTAATTTAATCAAGTTCTGTCAAGAAACAAAAACCAATAATGATCAGACTGGTAACTAAAAGATGAATGTTTAAATTTCCTTGATGTGTCTCCAAAAATTATATTATTATTTATTTATTATCACACTGGCCGATTCCCACCAAGGCAGGGTGGCCCGAAAAAGAAAAACTTTCACAATCATTCACTCCATCACTGTCTTGCCAGAAGGGTGCTTTACACTACAGTTTTTAAACTGCAACATTAACACCCCTCCTTCAGAGTGCAGGCACTGTACTTCCCATCTCCAGGACTCAAGCCCGGGCCCCTTGCCGGTTTCCCTAAAATCCCTTCATAAATTTTTACTTTGTTTCACACTCCAACAGCACTCAAGTATTAAAACCATTGTCTCCATTCACTCCTATCAAACACGCTCACGCATGCCTGCTGGAAGTCCAAGCCCCTCGCACACAAAACCTCCTTTACCCCCTCCCCCCAAACCCCTTCCCCTAGGCCGACCCCTACCCCGCCTTCCTTCCACTACAGACTGATACCTCTTGAAGTCATTCTGTTTCGCTCCTTTCCCTCTCTACATGTCCGAACCACCCAAAAACCCCTTTCCCTCAGCCCTTGGACAACAGTTTTGGTAATCCCGCACCTCCTCCTAACTTCCAAACTACGAATTCTCTGCATTATATTTCACCCAACATTGCCCTCAGACATGACATCTCCACTGCCTCCAGCCTTCTCCTCGCCTGCAACATTCATCACCCACGCTTCCACCCCATATAGAGCTTTGGTAAAAACTATACTCTCATACTTTTCCCCTTTTTGCCTCCAAGGACAAAGTTCTTTGTCTCCACAGATTTCCTAAGTGCACCACTCACTTTTTTTTTCCCTCATCAATTCTATGATTCACCTCATCTTTCATAGACCCATCCGCGACACGTCCACTCCCAAATATCTGAATACGTTCACCTCCTCCATACTCTCTCCCTCCAATCTGATATTCAAAACTTTCATCACCTAATCTTTTTGTTATCCTCATAACCTTAAATCTTTCCTGTATTCACCTTTAATTTTCTTCTTTTGCACACCCCACCAAATTCATCCACCAATCTCTGCAACTTCTCTTCAGAATCTCCCCAAAAGCACAGTGTCATCAGCAAAGAGCAGCTGTGACAACTCCCATTTTGTGTGTGATTCTTTATCTTTTAACTCCACCGCCTCTTGCCAAGACCCTCGCATTTTATTCTCTTACAACCCCATCTATAAATATATTAAACAACCACCGTGACATCACACATCCTTGTCCTAAGGCCTACCTTTACTGGGAAAAAAATTTCCCTCTTTCCTACATACTCTAACTTGAGCCTCACTATCCCCGTAAAAACTCTTCAACTGCTTTCAGTAACCTCCTCCTACACCATACACTTGCAACATCTGCCACATTGCCCCCCTATCCACCCTGTCATACGCCTTTTCCAAATCCATAAATCCACAAAGACCTCTTAGCCTTATCTAAATACTGTTCACTTATATGTTTTCACTGTAAAAAACCTGGTCCACACACCCCCTAACCTTTCCTAAAGCCTCCTTGTTCATCTGCTATCCTATTCTCCGTCTTTACTCTTAATTCTTTCAATTATAACTCTACCATACACCTTTCAGGTACACTCAACAGACTTATCCCCCTTTTAATTTTTGCACCTCTTTTTATCCCCCCTTTTCCTTTATACAAAGGAACTATGCATGCTCTCTGCCAATCCCTTTGGTTTCCTTACCCTCTTCCATACATTATTAATAATTGCACCAACCACTCCAAAACTATATCCCACCTGCTTTTAACATTTCTATCTTTATCCCTTTAATCCCGGCTGCTTTACCCCCTTTCATTTTACCTACTGCCTCACGAACTTCCCCCACACTCACAACTGGCTCTTCCTCACTCCTACAAGATGTTATTCCTCCTTGCCCTATACACGAAATCACAGCTTCCCTTCTTCATCAACATTTAACAATTCCTCAAAATATTCCCTCCATCTTCCCAATACCTCTAACTCTCCATTTATAACTCTCCTCTCCCATTTTAACTGACAAATCCATTTGTTCTCTAGGCTTTCTTAACTTGTTAATCTCACTCCAAAACTTTTTCTTATTTTCAACAAAATTTGTTGATAACATCTCACCCACTCTCTTCATTTGCTCTCTTTTTACATTTGCTTCACCACTCTCTTAACTTTTCTCTTTTCTCCAATACTCTTCCCTCCTTGCATCACTTCTACTTTGTAAAAACTTCTCATATGCTAACTTTTTCTCCCCCTTTCTACTCTCTTTACATCATCAAATTTCCACAATCGCTCCTCTTCCCTCCTGCACCCACTTTCCTGTAACCACAAACTTCTGCTGAACACTCTAACACTACATTTTTAAAACCCAGCCCATACCTCTTCGACCCCATTGCCTATGCTCTCATTAGCCCATCTATCCTCCAATAGCGTTTATATCTTACCCTAACTGCCTCCTCTTTTAGTTTATAAACCTTCACCTCTCTCTTCCCTGATGCTTCTATTCTCCTTGTATCTCCATCTACCTTTTACTCTCAGTGTAGCTAAACTAGAAAGTGATCTGATTTTTCTGTGGCCCCCCTAAAAAACATGTACAAACCTGAAGTCTTTCTCAACAGTCTTTTATCTACCAATACATAATCCAACAAACTACTGTCATTTCGCCCCACATCATATCGTGTATACTTATTTATCCTCTTTTTCTTAAAATATGTATTACCTATAACTAAACCCCTTCTATACAAAGTTCAATCAAAGGGCTCCCTTATCATTTACACCTGGCACCCAAACTTACCTACCACACCCTCTCTAAAGGTTTCTCCTACTTTAGCATTCAGGTCCCCTACCACAATTACTCTCTCATTTGGTTCAAAGGCTCCTATACATTCACTTAACATCTCCCAAATCTCTCTCTCTCCTCTGCATTTCTCTCTTCTCCAGGTGCATACACGCTTATTATGACCCACTTCTCGCATCCAACCTTTACTTTAATCCACATAATTCTTGAATTTACACATTCATATTCTCTTTTCTCCTTCCATAACTGATCATTTAACATTACTGCTACCCCTTCCTTTGCTCTAACTCTCTCAGATGGTTTTTTATTTATTTATTTATTTATTTAAAAATTTGTGCACACATACAGAGGTACAAAAAATACAGAAAAGAGCAGTATGCCAAAGCCACTTATACTATGCATATGATGTGTGTGCACACATCTTGTAACAGAGGCAAGACATGCATACACTGTCCAAGGTCACCTAGCAGCAAATAAGTACCTTAGTACAGTTGAGAATCCATTATCCAAAATGCTTGGGACTGAAAGTGTTTTGGATTTTGAATTTTTTCGGATTTTGGAATATTTATATGTTTGTGAAACCAGTCAGAAAAATGTCCCTGGCGATCCATAACAGTGACAAGATACATATATTTGTTATGAAAAGACACCAACTCACCTCTGCCAGAATCATTGTAGTGTTCAACAAAGCAGTGTAGATGTGACTTTGTAATGGTGCAATAGGCATAAAAAACAGCAGAGAGAGCGCTGTACATGTGTTTTCATCTATACTCATGTTATAAACAAACCAGCCAAATGAAGTCATGAAAGTCCTTCACACCTGCTCTCTCACTCTCTTCTTGAGTACACACCACACTATTCTGTAGGTGAGAAAAAAATTAGGGTATACATTTTTTTTTTTTTTTCCAACAAGTTGGCCGTCTCCCCCGAGGCAGGGTGACCCAAAAAAGAAAGAAAATCCCCAAAAAGAAAAAAGCTTTCATCATCATTCAAACACTTTACCACACACACACATAATCACCGTTTTTGCAGAGGTGCTCAGAATACAACAGTTTAGAAGCATATACGTATAAAGATACCAGAACATATCCCTCCCCAAACGCCAATATCCCAAACCACTCCTTTAAAGTGCAGGCATTGTACTTCCCATTTCCAGGACTCAAGTCCGACTATATGAAAATAACCGGTTTCCCTGAATCCCTTCACTAAATATTACCCTGCTCACACTCCAACAGATCGTCAGGTCCCCAAATGCCATTCGTCTCCATTCACTCCTATCTAACAACACTCACGCACGCTTGCTGGAAGTACAAGCCCCTTGCCCACCCAAAAACCCCCTTTACCCCCCTCTCCAACCCTTTCGAGGACGACCCCTACCTCGCCTTCCTTCCCCTATAGATTTATATGCTTTCCATGTCATTCTACTTTGATCCATTCTCTCTAAAAAAAACCAAACCCACTCAACAACCCCTCTTCTGCCCTCTGACTAATACTTTTATTAACTCCACACCTTTCCTAATTTCCACCCCTCCGAATTTTCTGCATAATATTTACACCACACATTGCCCTTGACAAAGGGCATCTCCACTGCCTCCAACCGTCTCCTCACTGCTGCATTTAATTGCAGCAGGGGTATACGTATCAAACAAATATTTTTAATTGTAAAAGTGGTACCCCAAGTTTTTGTACAGCTCCCAACTCAAACAATTATGTAAAGCATTATTGTAAGTGCTTTTGTAAGTGCATTTTGGGGTATGAAAACTAATCTAATTTACATTATTCTTATGGGAAAAAATTCGTTCGGTAACGGCACTCAAAAGCCTTCTGGAATGAATTATGGCCCAAACTCGGGGTACCATGCATTTAAATGTATTTTCTTTACAGAAGTGAACAGACAAACAATTTGCACACCCCCCAAACCCTTAACGTTCTCCATATAAAGACCCCAATCCAGTTATCCTGTTTTCCTTATTTTTTTTTTTAAAACACTGACTGTTTCCCACTGAGGCGGGTGACCAAAAAAGAAAGAAAAACCCAAAAAGTAAGAAAAAACTTTCATCATCATTCAACACTTTCACCATCACACATACATAATCACTGTTTTTGCTGAAGCACTCAGATATGACAGTCTAGACATCCCTCCAAACTGCCAATATCCTAAACCCCTCCTTTAAAGTGCAGGCACTGTACTTCCAATTTCCAGGACTCAAGTCCAGCTAACCGGTTTCCCTGAATCCCTTCACAAAATATTACCCCGCTAACACTGCAACAGTTCATCAGGTACCAAAAAACATTCGTCTCCATTCACTCCTATCTAATTAATGTTGGTAGAATTACCGACAGTATGTAAAGCAAAAGAACACAAGTGCAACTAATGTAACATTTTTATTGTGGCAATGTTTCACTCTCCAGGAGCTTTGTCAAGCTGTTACAAACAGTACATGGACACAGAGGGTATATAGAGGCTCAGAGTGAGGTTCAATACTAGTGGTAGTAGTAGTAGTGATAAAAGTTGTAGTAGTAGTAGTAGTAGTGATAAAAGTTGTAGAAGTAGTAGTAGTGATAAAAGTTGTAGTAGTAGTAGAATAGTAGTAGTGATAAAAGTTGTAGAAGTAGTAGTAGTGATAAAAGTTGTAGTAGTAGTAGTAGTAGTAGTAGTAGTAGTAGTGATAAAAGTTGTAGAAGTAGTAGTAGTGATAAAAGTTGTAGTAGTAGTAGTAGTAGTGATAAAAGTTGTAGTAGTAATACAATATGGTAGAACAATTAACTTGCACATGAGTAAAAGGATATATTAGCTATTACTTGGGTAACATAAAAATAGGTTACACAAATATTTCTATAGGAGGCTGGATAGAGGCAGCCTGTTTCAATGTTCATTCTCTGTAATGTGCTTGTGTAGTATTAGCAGGAGAGACTATGTGATGGCAGGGTTTACTGTTTTCAGGAGGATTCTTGCTTAAACTTCAGAGATGGTGAAGCTGCCTTTGTTTTGTTTAATTGTATTAGTGATGATTCAAGGCACTTGCATCTGCAGAAATTAGTTTCTTTGATCACTAATTGGGCATCCCAATTAGTGATCCCAAAGAGTGGAATTTCGGTGTTGTACGCAGGCGTTGTTCAAGTTGTCATTCCTACATGCATAAATGTGTGTTCTTTGAGTGGGGGGTAAAGGGTTTTCCCTTGCTGTTTCACCTACATAAATCTTGTCACAGCCTCCACAGGTGTAGTGTAAACCCCTTCGTTGACTGGTTCGTGGTGCTTTAAAAAAACGTTTAGAGGGGTTTACACTATAGCTTGTGAAAATACGTACTTTAAAACATTTCAAAGTACTTCACAAGCAAACCCACCAATCACCATCACTTCCAGCACTTCAATAAAGAATCTAACTAGGAAAAAAATCAAAGCACCACGAACAAGTCCACGCAGGGTTACACTATATCCTGGGGAGGCTGCGACAAAAATTTATGTAGGTGAAACAGCAAGAAACCTTGACACCTCCTCAATGAACACATTTATGCATGTAGGAACGACAACTTGAACAACGCCTGTGTACAACACAGAAATTCCACCAATCATGGGTCACAGCATTCAACACCTTACAGAAATCAGAAACTCACTGGGAAACCCGTGTAAAAAGTCTGCAGAGAAACTAAGAGTTCTCTCTGCCAAGTGCTGGATCAACCAGCTCTGGGTTGGGTCTGCAGGATCAGGAATGCTCTTGAAACCATAAAAGGTATATCAAAGGTAAAGGTAGATTTCAACAACCCACAATAACTCCCTGAATTATACCTTTCATATCATAACCTTACCTTAATTTCTTCACTACTTATTTCCTGCATAATATTCACTCTGCACACACTGGTGCCCCGTGGCCTGGTGGCTAAAGCTCTTGCTTCACACGGTGATGTTCGGGTTCGATTCCCGGTGAGGGTAGAAACATTGGGCATGTTTCTTTACACTGGTTGTCTATGTTCCTCATCAGTAAAATGGGTACCTGGGTGATAGTCAATTAGTGTGGGCTGCATCCTGGGTCAAAACTGACCTAATTTGCCCGAAATGCTTTGCATAACAAGAGGCTTCCTATATAGTAGTATGTATGTCATTGATGTCAGCTAGGTCTGTATACCTTGTACATGTGCTTGTAGAAATAAAGACATTATTATCATTATTATTATTGTTATTATTACGTATTATATTATATTATCACTGATCTCATGCATGACATCACTGTGTCTAGTCTCCTCCTGCTCATCACTGCAACACTCAAAGACCATAATCAACACCCATACACAAGCTGTTAGCACTTCTATACTCAAGATACATCCAAATTCCTTCATTCATTACATCAATGTAGCTATCTGTTTCACCTAGAGAAGGTCAATTTTCAGGTGATCCTTAATTTGTTTCACACATTGAAGCTGAACAACAAAGCACACTTCATAAATTTTTGAGTCTAACATTTCATTTGAGATAGCCCAGATATCATGTGTGTCCAGAGAAAAGGAATAAGAGTGTTTATAACTAATGAATACTCACATAAAATTTTTAAATGCACAGGGGTTATTCAGCACTACAACTTTGCTCATTTTTTTTTTTTTAAATTCATGGGATGGACTGCTAAACCCATAGGGTCATACCAAAAATGATTGGACTTACAGACATGACTGAAGTTCATCCATCGCACACGTTCTCTGGTATCATACAAACCCTTGTGGAGAGCTAGACCCTGAATATAACTCCAGGCTGGAGAATCCCACTGCAACAACACACAACATTAACTACTGATTCAATTAATAATATAAATTATGCATTATATTTTGATAACTTTTATAAATTCCAACAAGCAACACACAGTGGTTTCTAAATGGTATGGTAATACTGATAAACTTCCGAAAACAACACTTGTGTACAATTCAGGGCATTTACTGAAGGAAATGTCTTTAACAGTACGTACACAGGTGTCATTTCCAAGCAAGACTAAGTAATGCAGTGTCCCCTCATTCAAAATAAGTGTCCTTTTAACATTTGGAAACTCTTAATATACAATAATTCTTATTACAATAACTGTTTCCACTATAAACTGGCTAAGGCAATAATACAAAATGTTTATCTTCCAATATAAGAAAGAAAAATTAAAAATTCTTATAAACTGAGTGAGTGAACTAGTACATTGTGTATATAAGAAAGGGAAGAGAATAATGAAAGGCAAAATTTATAAAAAACAATTATTTAAAAAAAAAATACAGGTACAGTGTGGAATAATACTGTTATAAAAGTTACTCAAGATCATGACATTTATAAGATAAAGGAGTTTCATGAAAATTAAATATTGCAATATAATATGCAATGCATCTACAAGCAATTTTTCCTCAATGATTTCCAATGTGAAAACCTAACAGCAATATAAAATTATGAGAATTTTAAATTGAAATTTACAATATGACAAAGCAATTATTCAGACAGGCTTCTATTACACTATATTACTAAATGATTTTAACAACACAACCCTGTAAATAAAAATACCAAAATAAAGATGGGCCTACATTGTAGTGTTTAACTTATGATGAGCTTTATTAAGTGAATGGTAGGCCCACCAACTTACCAACTTCTGAATCCCAACATGGTAGAGGTAGCTTGGGTAGGGAAGAGTTAAGTAGATGAGGCACAATGAATTATTACCATTTGTTGTCACATTCATCGCACTCACTAGTTTGGATATACAGAAATAACCTGCACATAGGGTTATTTGTGTATTGGTGCAAGTATTGTGTTCTTGTATTCCTTAGTGTGGATCTACTCAGCAGTAACTTCACACTAGGTGATTAATACTACTATATTTATGTAAAATGCTAAACTCATGTGGATCATTCATTGCAAGAAAAGGTGGAGGAATGATTCCCCATAAGCTAAGTGTGAGACAAACATTCTACCTAGTTGTACATAACTTGTTGTCTCACAGGAAGTGTTGCAATATGCTAAGGTGTTAGAATTCTGGATGCATTTTCTTCTGTATCTGTATTCCTCTTCTAATTAACAACTAACATTCAAGTAATAGTAGGAGTGCGTGTGTGTTGCAACTGAAGAAATGTCTTGTCAGATATATGTGTGTGATCCAAGCATATCTACATTCTTGAATTTTTTAGTCAATATCGGTAACGAAAATAAGTTCAAATACCCTAACGGAAATAATTCACTTTGTCTAACTTTTTTGGGTTATAATAGGTTATTTACACAGGTCACAATGTATGATAAACTTACTTACTATGATTTAACTACAAATAGTTTGTTATAACCCCTAAAATGGTGTAGATGCCATTCAGTGAAGAAACAGTACAGCATAGCCAAGGTGTGTTTAACAATGCCACACCTTGCTTATTCTGCCCTCCCCAAATTTCTTGCTGTGACATAATAGAATAAACATTAGCTCAAATTTTGTTGACTTGATACAGCTGCTCCTGTGTGAGACACTGGCTAAAATAGAGTGTTTTATTCACATCTCTATGTCAGCAGTCTAGGTCAAACATTCAATACAGCTATGAATAAATACAAACATCAGATTACTGCCACCACTTACTGATAAATTGCCAATATCATCGAAGCAGAGAACTAGAGGTGTTGATGGTATAAAGGTGTCATAGGCAGCTCTTGAAAGGTGACTCAACACTGTTTCTTCCAAATCCAGTGGTGTTGTGGCTGACACAACTGTCAGTCTGACTGTTACCTAAAGAATATCATTACGTAAACTAATGCAAATACCTAATATTTAATGGATATGAAACTAAAAAAAATACAAAATTAAAGCAGTTTAACCTTACATAAACAATCGATGAACAAATGTAAAAAGACTGAAGAAATAGCAACAATGAAAAAAAAAAAAAAAATAAAATAAAATAAAAGAGTGGAATGTTGAGATCCCTATATAAATAAGTTTATCCAAAGGCAAAAAAAGAGAAATGTATCAGATTATACTGGTACTAATACTGTTATATGAGTGAGACATGGCCTTTAAATGCTGCAACGAGGAGGAAGCAGGAGAAGTGATATCATGTTTGAAAACAATGTGTGGTGTGAGTATTAATGCATAAAATTTGGAGCACAGAAATTAGAAGATGGAGTGAAGTAATTTAAGGTATAATTCAGAGGGCTGAGGAAGGGTTGCTTAAGTGGTTTGTTCATTGAGAGGATGGAGCAGAATAGGATGACCATAAGGATGCATAAATTTTGAGTGCTAGAGAATTTAACATCCAGAAGGCTCAAGCTTGTTATATTGGAGTGAATAGAGACAAATGATTTTTATGACTTTCATGTGCTGTGGAAGAATGAGCACAGTAATATTTATGAAGGGATTCATGAAAACTGGTTAGCCAGACAAGTCCTAGTGGTGCAAAATACAGTGTCCACATGCTGAAGGAGGGATGGGAATGTTGCAGTTTGGAGGGTTATTTGAACTGTGATATCTGCAGGCTTCTGGTGAAATGTTTCCTTTTTTTGTCTTACCTTTCCTCAGCGAGAAATGGTCAGTGTGAAGCAAATGAAAGTATTCCTTTTTTAAACGAGTCACATAAATTTGAGTAATAAAGATGAATAGAAAGCATTTATGAATGGCAAACAATCAAATATTTGTTTCAGTAATCCATTATGTACCAGCCAACTTATTAGATGGGTTGCTGAAATTTCTTTACCAGTTAGCTGGACTTGAGTCCTGGAAATGGGAAGTACAATGCCTGCACTTTAAAGGAGGGGTTTGGGATATTGGCAGTTTGGAGGGACTTCTAAACTGGTGTATCTGAGTGTCTTTGCAAAGACAGTGATTATGTATGAGTGAGGTGAAAGTGTTGAATGATAAAAGTATTTTCTTTCTTTTTGGGGATTTTCTTTCTTTTTGGGTCACCCTGTCTCAATGGAAGACGGCCGATGTGTTAAAAAAAAAAATCCATTAACTATTTTAAAATATAAGAAATGAGTGTTTAATTCAACTATGAACAGTAAGTTACTAACCCAGCCTGGAAGTGTGCTTAATGCAAGCAGAGCAGCTGTTGTCTTGCCACAAGCAGGAGGTCCCACAACCACAAGAGGTCTACCTATCTGATGAAGTAGTGTCACTATTACTTAAAAGATTCCATAAAAGGAGGACATTATTGGTTAAATTAAATTTTGATATCCAGTTATATATCTATGGGAAAACTTTATAGCACATATAAAGAAATAAATTAGGTAATTTGCACAAACAAACATACACTTCAACAGCTTTAAGAACTGAGATGTTGATAAATTTATTAATTCATAATTAGCATTTTAGAATCCTAATTCTAGTCCAATAAAATTTTATCATGTCAGAATTAGTATAGTATTACAAACCAGACAATTTTACAGGACAGCAATTATTTCTGAAAATATAATGCAGGTAGTAGGTTGGTAACGCAACCACCCGGGGGGTTTCTACCATCCTCCAAAGTAGTGTAAAACGAAACCTGTGTTTACATGAGGTGGGTTTGCTGTGTCTTTGTTTTCCCCATAAATATGCAAGTTTAGGGGATGTCTTGCTACTTCTACTTCATTTTAGTCCCTACCTACTTTAAAAACTTTTAAAATTTACCCCCTCTTTTATTTTTTTTGATTTTATTTTAATATTCTGTCTTATTACTTTTCCTTTTTATCCAGGGGAAGGGGAATAAAAAATTTTTTCCTCCGTAAGCCAGCGTGTTTAAAACAATAAAAGCGGGGGACATGGCTATAACCCTTTTTTTCCAAAAGATTACTAAAAAAATAAGAGAAAATTGTCAAAGGGGGGAAGCTAATTGCGGGGGTTGGCAAATGATAAAAAGAGATATTGGGGGAGTTATAAATGAGAAAAGCGGATGTCCTGGCTTTAACCCCTTTCCCCCAGTCACGGCTTCACTCGAGTGCCCAACCAGATCTACGAAAAAATTCTAGCGCCGTCAAATTTAGCGCGAAAGCACTCTGGGGCCTACATGGAGAGAACGGGCGCGTGGGGGGTTGCCCCAAATAAACAAAAAATCTGGGTTCCGCATAGCATTGTGGAACGCCGTCATACCCTTGTTCCCAGTCTGGGTCGCAAGCCTCTCACCTATGGAAAATTGGGACTCTCCTCCCCATAGATTTTTCTGACATTGAAAAGTGGAAATAAAGACAAATTCTTTGGGATCATTTTGCCAAAAGGGAATGACCAGGATACGATAATAGTGCAGAAAACCCGACAACCCAACCCTATTTTGGGTTGGGCACCCTCATCACTCGGTGTACCCAACGTAAGGAAACTATTATTTCGCTGGCGGGCCCTGACTTCAGAAAAGATGAAAAGGACGGGGTTGATTTTATTGCTCTTGACGACATCGAGAGAAGTGAGGAATCATATTCACAGTGAACGTCGTAGTAACCTGCCTCATCGCCGGAAGTGTACCCTATGCTGTGCCCAGGGGATGGAGACATCCCGGAGTACATCCCGGGGCCCCTACACCACAAAGATAGTGAATGGGGAGATGTGCAACATTTGGGCTGGAATGGATAGACCACGGCATCACAAGGGGGGTAGGGGTGATGGTGTCCCAGGCCATTGTGACTCACCACCCAGTTGGGACCCCGCTGCTAAACCCCCTTTTTCAAAGACAAAGCGAGCGTCTCCACCACCCGCCAAAACCCCAAAACACCCGCACAACCACCTAGGATTCCCATATCCACCAGCAAACCGTATCGGGGGAGGCACAAAAACCCCAAAATTTTTTTCCCCAAGCCCCACCCTTTATGACTCTCAAAGGGGAAATTTCTACCAATTTCCCCCTTGGAAACACGCAAATGAACGGAATTCTTTAAATTATTTTTGACCACCTTTGATGGAAACATTGTCGGGGAAAGAAAAAGTTTTTGATACATCATGGCAAATACAATCATATCCCACAGTCAAGAACCCCGGGTGGAAAGAGACACGTTCAAAAATTATTTCTTTTTGCAACAAAAATGCTTTGCCTCATGTCATAAAAAAATATAAAAGCAACTTTTCCACAGATCGCAAATTTTTCTCCCCCGGGTCTTCAGTGAAATCCCCCATGAACGGGTTTATCTTACTTTTACGTATGTTGCCTTCTCGACAAAACCAGCCTAAAAAGGGACGGGTTATACAAATTAGAAAATGTTTTTAAGTTCTCAAAAAAATTTTCAGCATATTTTTTATCCATTCAAAAATTTTGTAATTGACGAGTCTTTGATTTTGTTAAAAGGGTGGGGGCCCACAAGCAGTATATCCCGACAAGGGGAAACCTTTGGTATAAAATGTTTGTACCTGTGACGTGAGGGGCCGGGCTTTGGATATTGTTTATACAGGGGAAGTAAAACATTGAAAGAACCAAGATTTTATTGGTACCCCTCAGGTGACTAGTAGAAGCAGTGGCCCCCTTATCTTGGAAGGGGCATCATATAACCAATAACGGGTAACAAGCCCATTACTAAAGTGATTTCTTGCAATGAACAAGACAAGGTGTGGCACATGCGTTCAACGAAACATATCCCGGGCTCAATGCAGGTGCCGGGGTGATGACGTGCAGGGTTTACCGCCTTACTCATGGGATTCGGGGGATGACAAACGAATTTACATTGTTACACCATTCACCGTAAGAAATGCAAAAGTGGCAAATTGATCGAGTGACAATGAACGTATTTGAAAACCAGTGACAGTGATTGTTAACACAAAACATGCGCTTTTTTGACAAGTGTGCTGCAGATTGGTTTTTTTGCTGTGTTCGTAAAGTTACAGTGGTACATGAAACTTTTTTTCCATCTAAGGATATTTCAATCCAAAGCATTAATATGTACCAAAAGAAGACTGGCAACAACCACCATGGGGAATTTTTTGCTTTTTTTCAGAACAACTCAAATGAAGTACCAGGGAACAACACCCTAACAACAAGGTCCTCCAACTCCTCAGGATTACCCACGTTTTTAGGGGGAAGTATCATTTCATAAACAGCTTTCTTCAACTCAGAAGAAATTTTTCTCGAAAGATGCATCGTCTGTGCACAAAAAAAATGATGGCAAAAAAGACGCAAAGACACCGGTTTTTTGGTTTAGAAAGTAAGGTCCCTGGCAGGTGCCTTGTTTCAAGGAGTTCCACAAGCTCCCAGTTCTAAAACCTGTCCAGTGATTGTAAATATGTAAATATAAAAACATTAGATTTTACAAAATTTTGCAGTTTTAAAATTTTAATAAACAACAGTGGTAAACAATATATGATAAAAAATTTAGTGCGGTTTTTGTGTTCAATAAGGAGTTTATATATATTTCATTATAACATATTGTCTCTCAGGGGGCCCCAAAGAGTAGGGGAAAAAAAAAAATTGGAAAAAAAAAGAAAAAAAACCAAAAAAATGCTAAATAAAGTAAGCTGTATTGGGAAATCACATGGTTTCCCCCCCAGGGCATTTTGGGCAAACTTCTCAGCACTGTTTCTCGTTAATACTGATCAGAATTTTTTTTTTGTCTTATTACCTTCACAAAAATAGCCTCATAATTTCAAAAAAAAAAATTTTTTTTTAAAAAATTTTTTTAACGAAAATTTTCCTTATAATTAAAAAAAGAAGGGGGGGAATTTATGAAAAAAAATTAAGGGGAAAAAAATTAGAAAAAAAAAATAGTTAAGGGAAAAAGGAAAAAGAATAAATTAAAAAAAAGGGATAGTAGAAAAAAAAAATATGGAAAATTTAAAAACATAAGCCCGGAAAAAAAGGAGGGAAAAGGGGAAAAAATTTTAAAACCATAATCTACTTTGAACCAAAAAAATACAAACTAAACCCCCAGAAAAAAACCTCGAACAACAAAAAAATCCCTTTAAACAGGGGTCCGGGGAAAATAAAAGCCAAAATAAAATAAAAAAACCCAAAATTTTCCTTCTCCTTCCCCTCCCAAAATCAAAAACCCTAATCCCCCTTAAACAAAGCCCCACAATGACACAAGAAATAGGGCTAAACCCAATCCCCCCAAATACACATTTTTAAACCCCAATCAAAAACAAACAAAAGAAAAAGAAGAAAACCCAAAAGAAAAACAACCATCCTTTTATCCTGTCCAAATTTTCTTTGAAAACATAAAAAACCCAGCACCCCCCACCCAACCAAACCCTTTCCCCAAAACCAAAAAGCCCCTATACAGCCCCTCCTTTTAAGGGAGCAAACCGGGGCCCTCCCACATTACAAAAAAAATCATCCCCCTCCACAAACAAAACAAACAAAAACACGACCAATACCAAAAAAAAAAATTTGAAAAACCTAAAAAACAAACACCACCCATCAAAACCCATCATTACACAACCCGGGGCAACATGGTTTAAAAACAGGTCGCCCCCGCCCCTTCCCTCAACTATTGGATCACTACGCAAGGTCCTAAAAGCACCCAAAAACCAAAAAAAATGCAGAAGTAATAAAATACAGACTTTTCAAAAGCCTTGAAAAAGTGGACCATTTGGGATAATAAAACGCCCAAAAAGCCCCTGCTAAAAAGGGAATTTTCAGGAAAAGTCGGTTTGATGGATCATAAAATTTCCCCCACTAAAAAACACAGAGAGTAATCATCAAAAAGAGAAAGCCGAGGCAGCAACGGGGGAAAAGCTCCCTTTTTAAAAGGCAAGTACCCCCGCCCCATCTTGTTCCCATCCTCAGTCCGACATTTGAAAAAGGGTTTTCAGCCCAGCACCGTGTCCCTTTCCCTTTTCCCGATACACCCAATCTGCATGACAGTGGGCTTCCCCCTTGCAGACACTACAAAGGGCCCCGGCGGACATCAACCAAATTTTTTTAGTGGGCTGCAGAAACAATATGAAGTTTTAAAAAAAAGATGAAAATTTCAATTACTCAGAAAGGTAAACAGGGGGAAAATTTAAAACTTCATCGGAGTAAAAAAAACAAATTCTGGCCACAAAAAAGAGCGAAACCCAAAAGTCAAAGACCTGGAGTGATCATGTCCCGGGGAACTCACCTTTAAGGAAAAAACATTTTATCAAACGCATCGCTAGAAAAATGACAGGATGGATAATGAGAACCTTCAAAACTAGGGAGGCCAAGCCCATGATGACACTCTTCAGGTCACTTGTTCTATCTAGGCTGGAATATTGCGCACACTAACAGCACCTTTCAAGGCAGGTGAAATTCCCCGACCTAGAAAATGTACAGAGAACTTTCCAGGCGCGCAAAACGGAGATAAAACACCTCAATTACTGGGAGCGCTTGAGGTTCCTAAACCTGTTTTCCCCTGGAAAGCAGGAGGGAGAGATACAGGGATTATATACACCTGGAAAATCCTAGAGGACTAGAAACCGAACTTGCACACGAAAATCACTCACTACGAAAGCAAAAGACTTGGCAGACGATGCACCATCCCCCCCAATGAAAAGCAGGGTGTCCCCTAGCACGTTAAGAGACCATCAATAAGTGCAGGGGCCCGAGACTGTTCAACTGCCTCCCAGCACACACAAGGGGGATTACCAACAGACCCCTGGCAGTCTTCAAGCTGGCACTGGACAAGCACCTAAAGTCAGTTCCTGATCAGCCGGGCTGTGGCTCGTACATTGGTTTGCGTGCAGCCAGCAGCAACGGCCTGGTTGATCAGGCTCTGATCCACCAGGAGGCCTGGTCACAGACCGGGCCATGGGGGCGTTGACCCCCGGAACTCTCTCCAGGTAAACTCCAGGTACTTGTGGTTGGGGATTTCAATGCTAAAATAGGTAAAAATGTTGTGGAGGGAGCAGTATGTAAATTTGGGGTGCCAGGGGTAAACATAAATGGGGAGCCTTTAATTGAGCTATGGTGTAGAAAGAGATTTGGGTAATAAGTAATTACCCAAAATTGTAATGAAAAAGGGGGGATTTATAATAAAAATTACTAATGGGAAAAAATTGGTTTGGCATGCCCAATGTAACCGTAGTATTTGTTAGATTATGTATTGGTGGATAAAAAGGGTTTATGGGTAGGCTCCAGGATGTACATGTTTATAGAGGGGCAACTGATATATCGGATCATTAATTTAGTTGTAGCTACAGTTAGAGTAAAGTAGGTAAAGATGGACACAAAGGGGGGAAAGGTGGCAAAAACAACAAGGGGGAGGAGGGATAGTTGAAAGTGTTGAATAAATTAAGGGGGGAAAAGGTAGCTCGGTTGAAGATAAGAAGCGAAATTCCCCTGGAAGAAAGGTGGAAGCGGAGTTTGCCCAAAGAATGAGTAGTGGGGGGGGGTTTAAGAGGGTTGGATGAGTTTTAAAAAATGCAGTAATAGAATGTGGGCAGAAGTTTGTGGTTATAGGAGGGTGGGTGCAGGAGGAAAGAGAGTGATTGGTGGAATGATGAAGTAAAGGGTGTGATAAAAGAGAAAAAGTTAGCTTATGAAGGTTTTTACAAAGCAGAAGTGTTATAAGAAGAGCAGAGTATATGGAGAGTAAAAGAAAGGTGAAGAGAGTGGTGAGAGAGTGCAAAAGGAGAGCAGATGAATAGAGTGGGAGAGGCACTGTCATGAAATTTTTAATGAAAATAAGAAAAAATTTTGGAGTTAAACAAGTTAAGAAAGCCTAGGGAACGTATGGATTTGTCAGTTAAAAACAGAGTAGGGGAGTTAGTAGATGGGGAGAGAGAGGTATTAGGTAGATGGTGAGAATATTTTGAGGAAATTTTAAATTTTGAGGAAGAAAGGGAGGTGGTAATTTCATGCACTGGCCAGGGAGGTATACCATCTTTTAGGAGTGAAAAAGAGCAAATTGAAAGTGTGGGGAGGTATGTGAGGCATTACGAAGAATGAAAGGGGGTAAAGCAGCTGGAACTGATGGGATCATGACAGAAATGTTAAAAGCAGGGGGGGGGGGATATAGTGTTCAAGTGGTTGGTACTTCTGTTTAATAAATGTATGAAAGAGGGGAAGGTACCTAGGGATTGGCAGAGAGCATGTATAGTCCCTTTATATAAAGGGAAGAGGGACAAAAGAGATTGTAAAAATTACAGAGGAATAAGTTTACTGAGTATACCAGGAAAAGTGTATGGTAGGGTTATTATTGAAAGAATTAGAGGTAAGACAGAATGTAGGATTGCGGATGAGCAAGGAGATTTTAGAGTGGGTAGGGGATGTGTAGATCATGTGTTTACACTGAAGCATATATGTGAACAGTATTTAGAAAAAGGTAGGGAAGTTTTTATTGCATTTATGGATTTAGAAAAGGCATATGATAGAGTGGATAGAGGAGCAATGTGGCAGATGTTGCAAGTATATGGAATAGGTGGTAAGTACCTGAATGCTGTAAAGAGTTTTTATGAGGAGAGGGAGACTACTTCCCGGTAAAAGTAGGTCTTAGACAGGGATGTGTAATGTCACCATGGTTGTTTAATATATTTATAGATGGGGTTGTAAAAGAAGTAAATGCTAGGGTGTTCGGGAGAGGGGTGGGATTAAATTATGGGGAATCAAATACAAATTGGGAATTGACAGTTACTTTTTGCTGATGATACTGTGCTTATGGGAGATTCTAAAGAAAAATTGCAAAGGTTAGTGGATGAGTTCGGGAGTGTGTGTAAAGGTAGAAAGTTGAAAGTGAACATTGAAAAGAGTAAGGTGGTGAGGGTATCAAATGATTTACATAAAGAAAAATTGGATATCAAATTGGGAAGGAGCAGTATGGAAGAAGTGAATGTTTTCAGATACTTGGGAGTTGACGTGTCGGCAGATGGATTTATGAAGGATGAGGTTAATCATAGAATTGATGAGGGAAAAAAGGTGAGTGGTGCGTTGAGGTACATGTTGAGTCAAAAAACGTTATTTATGGAGGCAAAGAAGGGAATGTATGAAAGTATAGTAGTACCAACACTCTTATATGGGTGTGAAGCTTGGGTTGTGAATGCAGCAGCGAGGAGGCGGTTGGAGACAGTGGAGATATCCTGTCTAAGGGCAATGTGCGGTGTAAATATTATGCAGAAAATTCGGAGTGTGGAAATTAGGAGAAGGTGTGGAGTTAATAAAAGTATTAGTCAGAGGGCTGAAGAGGGGTTGTTGAGGTGGTTTGGTCATTTAGAGAAAATGGATCAAAGTAGAATGACATGGAGAGCATTTAAATCTGTAGGAGAAGGAAGGCTGGGTAGGGGTCGTCCTCGAAAAGGATGGAAGGGGTAAGGGAGGTTTTGTGGGCGAGGGGCTTGGACTTCCAGCAGGCGTGCATGAGCGTGTTCGATAGGAGTGAATGGAGAGGAGGAATGGTATTTGGGACGTGACGATCTGTTGGAGTGTGAGCAGGGTAATATTCAGTGAAGGGATTCAGGGAAACCTGTTATTTTTATATAGCCGGACTTGAGTCCTGGAAATGGGAAGTACAATGCCTGCACTCTAAAGGAGGGGTTTGGGATATTAGCAGTTTGGAGGGATGTGTTGTGTATCTTTATACATATATGCTTCTAAACTGTTGTGTTCTGAGCACCTCTGCAAAAACAATGATTATGTGTGAGTGAGGTGAAAGTGTTGAATGATGATGAAAGTATTTTCTTTTTGGGGATTTTCTTTCTTTTTGGGTCACACTGCCTCGGTGGGAGACGGCCGACTTGTTAAAAAAAAAAAAAATAATGCAAACTTACTATAACAGCCTTCTTTAGCAGCCAGTTTAGCCTTTGTGAATCTACTGAAGGAATTGCATGACCTCCCAGTTTGCTTGTTGTGTTGGAGGAATCAGCATCACTGATGGGTGAAGCATCCAGCCATGAACACCACGAGGATGACCCAACATCCCACCGTTGATCATATACGCTGATACTGCTACACGATAAACTCTGCAACACTGATCACATTACACAAGTTAATATTATTTTGAAAAAGCATGCTTCACAGGCAAAACATCACTTTGATAAAAGTTCTACTCTGAATTTGTGTAAATTTCAACCAATATTTTCAAATTAATAATTACATTATATTAACTGATTCACCACATTTCATAACATGACCTGAGGTCATCTTATGTAATAATAATAACAATAATAATTTTTTTATGTATTATTAAGACATCAGCCATTTCCCACTGAGGTAGGAGGACCCAAAAAAAGAAGAAGCACCTTCAACATAGCTCACTCTAACATTGTCTTGCCAGAGGCATTCCTACACTACAGTTCAATAATAATAATAATAATAAATTCATAAACTAAATTAAAAGTTGGTGAGAGGTCATCAAGGGAATAATTCTAGACAAGGCTGACTAGGAGTTGTTGAGGTGGTCTGGGCATGTAGAGAGGAAGAAGGGAGAATTAAATGATGAGTAGAGTGGATGACTACTAACAAACTCACCCTTAACATTAACAAAACCTACATGATGTTTGGGAACAGAGCTATAAATGTCCAACTGAATGTTCTGACCAATGGTTCTTACATTGCAAAACAAAAGGTCTGTTCCTTGACAGCAGCTTGACATTCAACATCCACATTCATCACAACAGAAAACATTATCCAAATCAGTAGGCATCCTCTGTAAGATACATTACTATGTGTACTTCAAACAGCACTGCTTACATTATACTACTCTCTAATCTATACCTATCTTACCCATGCTCTTAGTGTTTGGGGACCCACTATAGCCAATCACCTAAAGCCAATAATAACTCAACAAAAAACAGCTGTAAGAATGATCACCTAGTCTAGTAACAGACAACAAACTTCAAAAGTCTAAATTTACTTAATATACATAAGCTTCGCTAATACCATTGTGCATACTACATACACAGGACTATCAATTGTAATATCAATCCTGCTCTGAAACTCTTTCTTGATAGTTGCAACAGTGGCTATACATATAATACCAAAATCTCTATGATATTTTCCATGTCTGACTCAACCTGTAAAAACTCAATGTACATAAAACGACCTAAAATTTGAAACTCATTGCCTGAAGATTCCAGAGGCTCTCTAGTTGATAACTACTTCAAATCTACTGTTAAAAAAGGCTACCTGAAATGTTTGAGTGCTACTGGCTTTACATGTGCTTTCATTCACTGAGGTTTTGCAAGACCTTAATTGTTAGATTTCTATTGAATTTAACAGATGTGTTTTCACTATGATAAAGCTCATGGAGCAGAGTGATAGAGGACCTAGTAGCAACCAGTGAAAAGGCAGGGCCAGGAGCTATGCCTCGACCCCTGCAACCAAGTTTGAGTGCTTGAGGAACAGACGTTGTAGAGGTTAAAGCGTTAATCTGGGCTGAAGGAAAAGGTGGACGCACTTGATCCACATGAGAGCACAAGCTGAATTGAATCTATGAACCAATTACACATTGGAAATAATTAAAACACAGGTCTCATCTACAGATAAAACTATTAAAACTATGAGAACATCAAGTCAATAAGTATTACCTTACCTTCTGATATGGAAGCATCAAGAACCCCATCAGCAACTACAGCGTCAAGAGAACGAGTAAATGTTTGTTGAATTTCTGGCAAGAGTACTGGGTCAATAACAGACCTACTAATCTGTATCACTGCTTGCACCTTTTCTGCTACACGATGAATGTTGATATCCTGACTCTCACTCATGGATAAGTTCTCTATCTGCTCCACCTAACCAAATAAAATACATTATATAATAAAAACTAAAGACTAACTTCAAAGGTAGGAAATATATTTTCTTAATATTCCAATATAATGCTCCATTTGTTTGGTTTCTGGACTAAATAGCGGAAATGTTCGATTTTTGCTGATATTCCTGAGTACACTTGTCTAATATGCATCCAACTGGCTAGTCTAATATGCATTTAAGAATGCACTGACATTATTTATAAAATTATTACAATAATGCAGTAGTCTGCATAACAGTAAATATTTTTTGTGTGAATAAAAATTAAAAATGAAAAGTAAGTGTAATATAAGAGGCCTGGGGATGTTTACATTGTTTATTCTGAACCGTATTTTTAAATTGGCAATTTTTTAATTTTGTGTGAAATTGGTCAAATTACCAAATTCTGACCACTTTACAGGGTAGTTGAAATAGGTAAATGGGCAGTTTCTTGTATTCAATCGATAAAATAAAAGGACTACTATACTAGCAAAATACCTAGGAGTTTGGTCAACTGGAACAATGGAATTGACCCAAAATAAGCTCAAATTGGGTGAAATTGCTGACGCTTATACATTGCTGAGACACAATTGCAAGACATATTCATAAGTACAATTATTTGGTTTCATTATCTTAGGAAAAAGTCTCTCATTTCATAAGAAATTTTTTTTTTTTTTTTTAATTCTTTGACCTTGAGAGTAAGTTTGATATCAGGGGTCTTGACCCTTCTGGCGTTAAATAGCAATAAGTATCATAATAATATGTCAAGAACCAATAACAAAAACACACTTTGGAGAGAAAAATTCGGATGATATTTTGATCCATTCTGGACTATAGACGAGTCACAACTAAGTGAGAAAATAGAAAGAGTACCAAAAGATGGGACAGGAAGAGGAAGAAAGTTAGAAAGCCAAAAAAGAAAAATGCCAGAAAACATTCAGATAGTAGTAAGCAATGAGAAAAAATACATTTGAAGGGGATGCAATAACTAAATATCCTGAAAAGAAAAGAAATTCACAATAAAGTGCTGGTACAATACACCACCTACATGTGCAGGTTATCTGTGTACAGGTATCTTCACTCTAAACCATAGTTTCGGGTGGAAATACCTATGTAAGTGGTACAGGCAACATTCTCTCATGATAAGCAGTATAAACAAACCATGGAACAGGTAGGGTTTGAACCCACAGCATTGGCCACCAGATTTGGTTTGTTTGCAATTGTGTTATTATGATTTCATGAGATAAACAGTATACCCTTCTTGCCACCATTCACATATAACATAATTGTTTATCTCACAGTTACACAGAAACTGCCTACTTATTTCATTTATATGAACAACGAATGCTTGCTGTTGTGTAATCACGTTTGAATATTTCCAGAAATTAAGGAGAAACATATGAGAGTTGGCGCTTACACTCAAACCAGAGTTCAAAGAAAAACTAGGTACATCTGCCCAGGGTTGCATTTTTGGAAGAATCAATGAATGGGTTAATGAGCAAAAGTGTGGGAGTCAGAGTACACCCTCAAGAGTACAACATGGCAGCAACTGAAGGGGCAGCCTTTATTTAGTAAGGTATGCCTGTATGATTCTCCATGGGAAGTGGAACAGAATTCTTCCTCCGTAAGCCATGCGTGTTGTAAGAGGCGACTAAAATGCCGGGAGCAAGGGGCTAGTAACCTCTTCTCCTGTATATATTACTAAATGTAAAAGGAGAAACTTTTGTTTTTCCTTTTGGGCCACCCCACCTCAGTGGGATACGGCCGGTGTGTTGAAAGAAGAAAGATGCCTGTATGATGAAAATGATACTTGACAATGGTCCAGGACAGACTGAAACACCTTCATAAGGTTCCTCATCATCAGTCATCCTCCTAAGTGAAGATTTCAGGTGAATTGTCCAGTCATAATATTGACTTTATTCTTCATACTCCTACCCTTTCTTGACAGACTTGATTGATTACATAACAATAGTTGTACTAAGTTTCTCTTGCAATATTAGACAAAAATATATATTTGTTACTCACAATATCCACTACAGCATATTGCTGTGAGCCACATGATTTCTCATTAATAAACTGCAAAACAGGGTAAAGTAGTCGATACAAGAGGTATTGAAAAATCACTGTGGGTGATGGTTCTTCATATCTTGACACTGGAGTGCTAGGTTTGGTCATACTTCTTGGTGTAATGCTGCTACTATGACCCTCACTTGTGGGTGTTGCTGGTATGAGGTCTGGCTTAGGTAAAAGAACTGAGAGAGATAAAGTGTGTGGATCAACCTGGACAATACCAGCTCGGCTCAACACCCACTGAGGTAACTCATCCAGACTGCAGACCTGTGAATAACATTACACTAAGTTCATTTTCCTATATGGTAAAATCCTAAGTTAATATGTCTTAACATAATCAATACTGAATGTGCCGAGTGACAGATATAAAAGTAAAAATACAAACTATTCCTACATTATCTTGAATTGCAAAGGTAAAAATTTTCTCTTTTAAAATGTCAAAGCTATTATTTTCATTTCAACAAACCACCCATATCCCACCAAGGCAAGGTGACCTAAAAAGAAAAACAAAAGTTTCTCTCTTTAAATTTAGTAACATATACAGGAGAAGGGGTTACTAGCCCCTTGCTCCTGGCATATTAGTCACCTCTTACGACATGCATGGCTTACAGAGGAAGAATTCTGTTCAACTTCCCCATGGAGAAAAGCTACTAGTATCAATGGCAAATAATCTAAGAATTCCAATTTGCTACAGTGCTTACAGCATTAAAAATATATTAGATTAATATGCGAGTGGGAATTGGCAAGTGCATGAAGGGCATGTTGAGCCTGTGCCAGTAGACCTACTGCAGAGATCCTCTTTCCTTTTGTTCTAAATCCACATATATGATACACTGTAATATTTTTGTGACGTAATCCATGTCTGCATACATAACTCATTACAACTATAACCAGATATAAACATGTAAACAGTACATTACCAATGTAACTTGTTTAGCTATCAAAACTTTGTGACTCAGTCCCTTCACCCATTATTATTGTGCCTACTACAATCCAACACATTAAACTCCAATATAAACCCTCCACTTAAACTTCTCCTTGATAACTACAACCGAACACACAGTCACAATACAAGGCATAAGGCACTCTTCGACATCCCTCATGTCCATCTCACTACGCAAAAATGCAATGCACATAAAGGTCCCGAAGATCTGGAATTCACTGCCTGAACCGGTAAATGATCCCCTGACTAGTTAGAAATTTACGACTTTGCTTAAAAATCATCCCATCTCTCAATACTAACCAAACCAACCAAAACAACTTCTAATCAGTTTGAAGCAACTTTCCCAAATATTATATGACTTCTAGTCTGTTAAACATCTGCCAATCCATAAAACATTACTTTTTGAACCATTATTTGTAATATTGTTTTTATTATGTGCAACTTCAAAGATTATTCTTATTATTCTTGACTACCTCACATTAATATTAAGATTAAATAAAGATTTTAATACATGTTAACCACTCTTATCTTAAGACACTTGTGCAACATCTGGTTATCATTATTGTAGACGTTTCCCCATCCAGTGGCTTTATCAATACAGATTCTTGGACATAATTAGAAAACAGAAGAACTATATACAAAAGATGAGGTAATCAGTCCCTCAGCCTTGGAGGTGGTGTTTACAGCACCGTTGTTGTAGAGATTCTGAAGCACAGGTAAGGAGACTGGCGCTTATATAGGCATCAATGAATAGGGACGTGTAGCAGACAAGGGCATAGTCACTGGTAAGCGGGATTCCCCAATGGAAGTAGGCCTATATAAGCGCCAGTCTCCTTACCTGTGCTTCAGAATCTCTACAACCATGGTGCTGTAAACACCACCTCCAAGGCTGAGGGACTGATTACTTCATCTTTTGTATATAGTTCTTCTGTTTTCTAATTATGTCCAAGAATCTGTATTGATAAAGCCACTGGATGGCGAAACGTCTACAATAAAGATAACCAGATGTTGCACAAGTGTCTTAACTTTCATCTTGTCGGTATTGTATACCTGTCTTGCACAACTCTTATCTTAGTCTAGATTTAGATAGTTATTATGTACTAGGATCAGTCTGCCCAAAATTCCCCGGCATGATAGTGACTTTCTTTGTACTTAGCAAACCAAAACTGCAATTACACATCGTAACTTTTATAAGAAATAAAATCTTTCTCTTTATCTTTATGTGCCTCGGTAATCTTTTGACTACTGCCCACAGGATGGGACTGGGGCACATAATAAAGATATCAAATTAACTAATGCTGCTATATACTACAGTGCTTAATAATACCTCAACAATAAAGGTGAGATTTGAGGTGATTGGTAACAGAGTGAGTGAATCAAGTAATAAGGTCCCTGGTAGGTCACTCAGACGAAGTAAACACTCACTGCCACCTGCTCCTTCAAGCACCACAAAACTGCAATATAATGAAATTGCAAGTACTCATCCATATAGTGGAACAGAAATCAAAGTTAACCATGAACAATTTATAAAAAAAATAGTAAATATACATAACAGTTAAATTATTTACACATATCTAGCAGAGAAATACTATTCGACAAAGACTAACAACTACTGATGATGTTATTATAATATATTATTGGTATACAGAACTTGGCCTATTAATATATTTGATCTATAATCAAGTATATATAATGAACTTGGTCCTAAATTAGATAGTTTAGCTCAATCCTTATTGCACTTCTAATGTGCCCTTTTAGTCCAAGAGTAATGCACAGGAATGCTACAATGTTGATTCACATATAAGCCTATATGATTCCTTATTTAAACTATATATTAAAAATAGTGCTTTCACCTGTGTGAGGATCTGAGAGCTAGCTGATTCAAGAGGCGAGGCAGAAGACCACTTTGAGTTACACTGCCAAACAGTCTACTGTGGGTGTAGCTCTACATGTGACCAAGGATAAAAAAAAAGAAGAAAAAATTAGTCTTGTTCATAACTGGAACAGTAATATGACTTAAAAAAAAATAGCTATGTACTATTTCAATTAAGCATTCGTTACATTATCTTATAAAATTATTGTTAGAAAACTTCTTAATTACATGAGGTCTTAATGTATACACTTGTCGATCAACAAGCTGCCTATTGGAGTTCAGTATGTCAATGTCGACTCCATCTATTTCCTCAGTTGAAGCATCATCTCTATCAAGTGTGTTTAGTTGTGAACGATGGGTTAAGCATTTGTCAGGTCCTTGACCTCTTGTGGATTTATGAGAGAGTGATGTGCGCAACCCATGCTCCTGCTGGAACAGCTTTATTGCAGCTGTGATTACACTGGTTTTGCCAGAACGTGGTGGCCCAGCAACCACAACACAGCTCCAGTCTCCCAGTGCCCTGGCTAAGTCTTCAACTGCTGTAACCTGAAATATTGATGCAGTATTAACGTTTTTTCTAGAATATTGCACCCATCTATTTAAAGCATTAGAGTAATAATATCATACCTGTTGTGGAATTGCTCCGAGTCCCATCTTTTGCAGCAGTGTCTCTGGTACTTGACTTCTGGCAGTTCCTTCAAGTTGATGAGGACTCTTAGAGAAATAAAAAACTCAGATTAAATATTATTTAAAATAGAGATATGATCATAAAGAAATTCTATACACAAGGGCCCCACTTTACAGTGGGGCCCTCTCTAATACAGTGGCTTTCAATTATACCCATTCTTCATTAACCCGTAAACGGTCCAAATGTATATATACGTTTTTTCAACATTTGTAAGTATGTAAAAAAACTAGATCTTCTTTTTGTTTTTTTACATTTGAAAATGTGTAAAAAAAAACTTTGATCTACTTTTTTTTGTTATATTTGAAAATATGTAAAAAAACGTAGATCTACTTTTGTAGCACTACACATGTGAACGTAGATCTGCTTGGACCGTTTATGGGTTAATTCAGATTTCCCACAATAAATATATTTATGAGCAAGGGACTGGTAACCCCTTCTCTTGTATACATTATTAAAGTTAAAAAGAGAAACTTTAATTTTTCTTTTTGGGCCACCCTGCTTCAGTGGGATACCGCCGGTTTGTTGAAAGAAGAAATATATTCACTCACTATAAGTTAAGGACAAAAATATTTTAAAGTAATGTGTGTACTGTATATGCATTTTTTAGGCCTAGATTTATTGCTCACTTAACAAATAATATGTGTAAACATGTTATCAGACTTTTATATGCATCTGAAAGTGAAAAAAGGCGAAAGTCTCACTTTACAGTGATTTTCACTTTACAGCAGTAGCCTGGAACCTACCCTGCTGTATAAGCAGGGTAGGTTCCTGCTGTATAAGCAGGGTCCTTCTGTACACAATAATGTATACAAATTTACTTAATTTACCCCTAATTTTTGTCTTAAATCATTGTTTACTTTTTTCTATTTGTATTAACAAACACTGACTCAGGAGAGAGACAAAATTAACTATAATTTGTCTTGCATCAGGATTATAAATGACTGATTGGTACAATTTTTCATACAAGTTAATAATGCACAATATAAGCTAAAATTAAAATATCAAATGAAATGGAACTTAATAAAATAGCTTTAAAATGATCAGTCAAGAAATGAGAACAAAATATATCAGGACTGAAATATAAATTTAATAATATAATGTAAGAGGTAATTACTGGCAGGGAAGCTGGCTCTGAGGGATGAAGTAGGTTCAGCACACTGAAGATGGCAGGAAGGAAATCTTGAGGAAGACGTGGTACTATTACACTCCTGTAAATAATATGGTTTATGAGTTTTTTACTTGAATATATATTTATATGAACTTCATATGGAAGTGGAGAAGAATCATTCCTTTATAAGTCGTGTGTGTTGTAAGAGGCGGCTAAAATGCAGGGAGCAAGAAGCTAGTAACCTCTTCCGCTGTATGAATTACTAAATGTAAAGGAAGAAAAACTTTACATTTCTTCTTTTTTGGGTCAATCTGCCTCAGGCAAGACTAAGTGGGAGTGAATCTGAAGACTGGTAGGTTAAGAGAAAAGGCCAAGATTTGAGAACTGACCCCTGTAACTGCAAATAGGTGAATACAGTGATTGAATGAGTGATGATGAGATTGTTTCCTCTTTTTTGGGTCACTATCTCAATGGAAAACATTTGGTGAGTAAATAAATACCAGTGTGTGGTAAAGTAAAAGCACATTAAAGAGTTCCCTGACTTCAAATTCCCTCCATCAATTCTCTCTAAATTTAAATTATAAAATTAAGCCATTTTAAAATTTTAGTGGATTTTCTTACACTAATATCCCTGCTTAATTGTAAAAATGAAAATGTCTTAAAAGGACAAAAAATATTTACACTTACACATAAATTCATGAATTTCATGCACAAAAACGTCAAAACCATGACTAAAGGAAACTACCACAATGCAAACATCATAGCTAAGATAAGTAAGATTACGAAACTTACTTAAATGCCAACACAGCAGCCTCTAAAGCAGAGGAAGTGTATTGTGTTGCTGCCAGAATACGCACAACTTCATGCATCATCCTCATTTGGAGTCGCAACCCTAGAGTTGTTTGGTTCCTTAGAGAGCCAAGTACTTGCCGGACAACCTCACCAATTGCCTCACTCACATCCTAAGATGAAATAATTGGGTAAGAATGAAAAATGCCTACTGATTGTGGTGACAGCAGCAGCAGTAATCACCAAGGGGGTACCTTGCAGAGGTTGCCTCAATTTTTTTTCCTTTCACCATTTCAATTTTATTTTGCTCATGACTTGAGAATGTCTCATCCAATCGGCTTCAAATTTTCAACACTTGTGTACGTTAACGAGGATCAAATTCTCAGAACAAATGGCATATCCATGTCCCCTATGGCCAGTGCTGAACCCTTTCCCATCCTCCTGGAATGTTTTGTTTATATCTTTTGTTTGTTGATTTGATTAAACATATGGTTAGTGAATTTGTCCCTATTACTCTGTACAAAAACTGTTCATTTCCTTCTTCATTTATTTTATTATTCAGTCTTCATGTCATTTCTATAGTATCTTCTGTTATTTTATCTTCATTTAATAGTTCCTCTGCCTTCCTGCTTTTCATGCTCCATCTTTTTTTTATTTTAAAAATTTGCTAAAACAAGGAATAAATAATAATTACTATAAAAGGAAACCAAAATATATTTTATGAAGAACTAACTACAGAAGCATATTCTGAGACACAGTACATAGTTAGTAATGACTGTCTATTTAACTCACGAAATCGTAATGACACGATTGCAAACAAACCATACAACAGGGCGGGATTTGAACCCGCGGTCAGAGAGTCTCAAAACTCCAGACCATCTACTTACCTGTGCTTTGGGAACTGCAAGAGCATGCAGCCAGGCAAAAACCAGAACTTGAGCAGGTGGAGTTGATATCCAGATAGGACGACTCGTTGCCTCAAGGGAGTATGGAAGTGAATAAGTAGAGGATGCTCTGAGTGTGGGCAGTGGTGCTGACACAGAAATAATAACACTAGCCCAAGCATTAAGGTTCACCTCTTGGCCATCTATCTGTAAGTGATGAGTAAAATATTTAAAAAGATGTTTAGTTCTTAAAATTAGCTAATTTGTAGCACATTACAGGTAATAATGCAAAATAAGTCTTTTAAACATGACTGACAAGACTGAATATTAGAACACACTGCAATAATAATGAAATAAATAACATGAAAACATGGCAATAAACATTTTCACAAAGTAAAATGAAAGCAGAGTATGTAATACCTGAATGACTGGCGAAGATGAAGTGTATCTGTGGGCATGGTATATACTAAGAAGAGTTGAGGCAAGTGTGGCCAAAATTGCAGGAGTTGCCAGATTACAGTCACGGAGGAATAACCACGACCCTCCAATCAATGAACCTGTAAACAGAAACATGACTAGGTGCTTAATACATACAGTAATACAGTCTAAATTACAGTATCAAGAGTCAATACAATAAACATGTAATTCAAGGTATTCAGAGAATTTACACATCTTTCTTTCTTCAAATAAGATTTATTAGTTATTCTTTAACCCTTAAATGGACCAAACGTATATATACGTTCTCTCGCAGAGTGCCCCAAATTTTTTGAGAAATAAAAAATCGTTTTTTTTAAAGGAAAAAAGAGCATATGGTACCCAGGCATCCCCAATTTTTTTCATATGGCGCACAGTGAGTGCGCACACCCATTCTCTCATGTCTAGGTGACTCAGGCTTATCGTGGCAATGTTGAATGAATGACAAAGGAAACGTATATATACGTTTGGGGTGCTACGCGAGAGAAAGTATATATACGTTTGGACCATTTAATTAAGGGTTAAGAAAAAAGGCAGATTCATACAACAGCCTCAAAAATTCGTTTTTATTACTAGGTGCTTTATTTTCCAGAAAATAATAAGATTATAAAGAATAAACTAATCTAGAACAAAATAATTTTATGATTATTATACTTCAAAATTAGTAGACTAACTAGTTTCAATCATTATTTTACTTATTTTCTTCGAACTAACCTGCCAATAATGAAGTCAGTGTGGAAGAGGGTGTGAGAGCAGACAGGGAGAAAGTTGTAGTAAATCTTCCAGCCATGCGTGCTGCAGCTTCCACCAAACTTTGTTTACCACCACCATTCTTTCCTATAATTTATGCAAAGAAGAGAGGTATTAAGAGAAGTTAAAATGACCCTGCATCAAATGGCCTATTATTAAGGAACTCAAAATCTTGAAATTAAATTAAATAACTGCCAATTCTTTAATATTTAAACTAAGGTGTTCCATGGCTCGGCTGGCAGCACACTCATCTAATTTACTGAGTGTCCATGGTTCAGCCCTTGGCATGAGAGGAGACAATGGGCATGTTTCCTTCCACCTTCTGCCCCTGTTCATTTAACAGTAAATAGGTACCTGGGTGTTAATCGACTGCTGTTGGTCGCATCCTGGGGGTGGTAGTATACCTTAGATAGCTCTGGGCTTTGATATGAGCTGAGGTAGGATAACAGCTCTTAGCATGTAAAATTGATGTGTAAAAAAAAGAAATTACTATGAACTGAGGTTAGACCTATGTACTGTATTTTTTTCTGATACCACTCACTGGATGGCCATGGCAACAATAAAATAGCCCTTCGTAAAGGCAGTAAATATAAAAACTAAATAAGTTATCTGATAGTATGAAATTCAATGCTTTCTGACCTACTGAAAGTCCTCATAACATTTTATTTTTATGTGTCATAACTTGATAAGTCAGTCTTTATCATTATACAAATAAATGTGCATATACAGGAGCCAAGGTGAATGGTGAGAACCTGACAAACTAAAAATATAAAACACACACAGTATAGTGAGCATTTTTTATTAGAAAAAGTTTTGTCCTGTCTGGTTGTTCATTAGGAAGAGGTTAACCAGGCATTTCTGGCATGTTGTCAGTGCACTGTTGTGATGTTTTGATTAACAGAATGGAATCTTTAGAAGAAAGGACAGCGTGCGTGCGTGCATGTGTGAAATTCTGTTTCAAGCTTGGGAAAAATGGCTAGTGAAACTCATAAAATGCTTCAGCAAGCCTTTGACAATAAAGCAATGGGTCAGGCACAGTGTTTTGAATGATTTTCTCACTGAAAGGACAAATGTCAATTGAGGACGATGAATGCTTTGGTCATCCATTAACATCAAAAACAGATGCCAACACTGAAAAAGTGAGGAAGGCTATTCAGACAGATCAAAGCATTCTGAATGAAAATTTGAACATGAAGCAAGTGGCTGCAAAATTTGTGCCCCATTTGCTGATTCAAGACCAGAAAGATCATTATTTTCTGTTCAAAAATTGGCAGTCATCCCCAACCCTCCCTACTCCCCAGATCTAGTCCCCTGTGACTTCTTTCTCTTCCCCAAAATAAAACTGGCACTCAAAGGCAGCACTTTAACCAAGAGGAGGAGATTCAGGCAGAATCGCAGACCATGCTAGACACCGCTAGGGAAGAAGAGTTTCAGAAATGTTTGGAGAAGTGTCAGAAGCATTGAAATCAGTGAATAGCCTCCCAAGGAGAATCCTTCCAAAGAGACAACTTCAATTAGGTAAGCCTATATATTTTTTTTTTTTGCAGCAATAGTTCAGGAACTTTTTGATAGCACCTTGTTGACTTGATAATCCTATTTAATGTTTTTATGACAAAGTGAAACAGAGTTAGCTGATATATGACCAATGAAAATGACAGAAATTTGTATAGGGATTTTCTTATTACAGAATATTTTATAGGACAGTATCTACATAAATGAAGCTATGAAGTGATATAGTGAAGCTTTTTTTTTTTTTGATTAGTGTGGCTGCAATGCTTTGCATAATTAGTGGCTTTCTATTATATGTGCATTCGCATCAAATTTTATCTGTGTTATAACTGCATCAAAACTATAACCAAATGATGTGTAAATCTAACTACTGTAACTTCTTTGTATGATCATTACAAATAAACATTATTATAGTTATATAAATTTCATTAACCTACCAATTAGTAGAGGCGAAGTATGAGCTGCACTAGCAGTGAAGACAGCAAGCATAGCACGTTCTGTGGTAGGTGTTACCACATAGTCTGGCTGGCCACACCCACTATACTCATAACCATATTCAATAATACCTGCAGATTAATAAACCTGATAAGTAACAAGCATGCAAGAGTCACCTTCCTTAAGCTGAAGATGGCTTATGTGTTAAAAAGTTGACATCTTTGACATCTTATCTTCCCTCTTAAGGTATCCTCAGTAAGTACCTTAAAATCTTGCCATTTCTTAAAAATATATATAAATTACAGTATATCCTCAATTTAATGAACTAACAGAGGAAACAGATGGCCAGTAATGGTAACTATGGAGGATAGAAATGGGACTGTTTTGCTGTGATTGTAACAATAATGAACAACTTTGTAACCAACAGACTTTGTTTTTCTGTTTCCAAATCAACTGAAGTTTTTTTTAAACGAGATCCAAAAAAGTTAGGGTTTACTGTGCACTGCTTCATATTTGGACAGTATCTTGAAAATTCCATTTTGTATTGACTTATCAATACGTCTCAATCTCTGGAACCAATCTTTATTTTTCTGTATAGAGCTGACAGGGACAGGTGACTTTATGAAAATTATTGCACAGTGTAAACAAATCATCAATGTAAATGCTATCTTGTGAATATTTTGTTTAAAGAAATCATCAACCACATCTAGCCTATGTTACTCAATTTGTGGAATAAAATGATACTCTTTAATTCTGAAAGATGATTACAGCTCTTACTGTATATAATTACACCTTAATTATTAACATAATAGACAACTGATTATCCAGTTGACTAGAGTTAGAGGGTACGCTGGATTTTCAACAATACTCGATTATATCATTTTTATGGTCCTTTCATTTTGCACAATCTTTTTTTGCATCATCCGTTTTTAGATTGAATAAGAATGTCATATTTTATTTGAAGACAATAACTGGATAAATGATGATTACTGATTATAATAGTAATAACAAAATGCATGCACAAATTACTACATTTCCTCCAGTTGCAAACATTCAGTATTTGAAAATCTAAAGCAATTCTCTACTAAGGTGTCAAAATACAGAGTAGTACATAATTGTATTAAGTTGTCATGAACTTGAGAAGAGGCTCATGATTTTTAAGAGCACCAACAGAGTTAAACAACACGTAACTGTATTCCATATTAAAATATTTAAAAGCCACTCTGTGCTTATTTAAAGGATCTTGTCTCTAATGAGCCTCATTAAAAAAGCCTAAGAGTGTAGGCATATACATATATACTGTATGAAATATGTTTCTCACTTTATGACGGAGTTCTGTTCCTAAGACCATGTCAGCAAACAAATTCGTTGCTAAGTGAGCAGCATACTATAATGGTAGTGGATTTGTGCCAACCATATTTGATATTGTTTTAGTGTCACCACTGCACCATTTATAACCTTTCCCTTATATTTTTAAATGTTTATACAGTAGTGCACTGTACATTGTAATAAACAGAAAAGAGGAAATCAGCTCTAATATACATCATTTAATATGTATACTGGTCAGAGAGCCCATCGTAAGTCCATGTCGTTGGTAAACGAGTACATCGCTAAGTGAGAAGCTGTACACTTAGGGATGTATATATAGTATCTCAGTCTATATACAAAGAGAGAATTTGGTTTAATTTTTATTTTACTGATTAAAATATTACTAGCCAGTGGTGTAGAGGTGAAATGTAGCCTTAGTGACCCTAATGCAGCTGAAAGGCTATAAACATAATAAATCAACAACTGTATAAAAACTGCCTATTAAAAACCACACATGAAAATAAAGTAGCAACACTTAATTTAAGCATTTGATAAACTACAAAAATCAGTATTGTACTAACGGTCAGCTGCACAGAGGGTTAGTCTGGAGCTCTGGGATTGCCACAGGTATCTGGGAACTGAAATCCAAGTGAAGTTTTCTGCACAATTTGCACTGCAGGGATAAAATAAAAATATAAATTTCTCTTCATTCAGCAACACAGCAAAACAACTTTGAATGTCATCCATTTTTTTATACAAATAATGTATCATGTGAAAACAAAGAATTTTAATTTTAATTTGAATTTGAATTTTTGATTACCCTCTGACTGCAGCGCTTATTCATATTAATATCCAATACAGCCTTCACTCCTAAAAATAAATAAATGAAAAATTAGAGAATCATTATCATGGTAATCAAAACTTTACAGAAGATACAAGAAAAACTTACTTATTTCTGATAAGTCTTGATGTAACATCTCGAGCATGAATAATTGCCATAAGCAGCGGGAGACATCGAGTAGCAGGGACCGGAGTCATGGAGTTACGACGAGTAGTGCAACACGAAGGACCAGAAGCTGTTCGCATAGAACTCAAAGGCAAAACTGGCTCCTGTAGAGAATATAAAATATACTGCAAATCAACAAATGAAGCACACAAGTGCTTGAGCACTATGTTAGCAATATGAACATTACATTTGCTCTTTTTTTTTTTTTTTAAACACTGGCTGTCTCAACCGAGGTAGGCCATCAGATGCAACAAAAAGGAAAATGCTGTCATTCATATATTGACTGTTTTGCCTGAAGTGTCCTGACATCATAGTTCAGATGATCTTCTAAACTGTAACATTTCCACCCCTTCTGGAGAGTGCAGGCTCTGTACTTCCCACTTCCAGGATTCAGGTCCAGCTGACCAATATCTATGAATGCCTTCATTAACGTTATCTTGTTCACACTCCAACAGCATATCAAATCTTAAAAACCACTTGCCTCCAGTCACTCCTCTCTAACATGCTTACACAAGCCAAGCCTGTTGGATGTCCAAGCTCCAAGCACTCAAAACCTTCATCCCCTCCCTCCAAAGCTAATGTGATATACTTGTGATCATAGAAAATCTTATTTTCCTATATGTGAAATAAGTATTTCCTATACTGTACTTCACTATTTATTCTCTAATTGCTTCCTTTACTGTATGCAGTGGCAGCTCGTCCATAGGAGCTGCAGAGCTGCAGTCCCCCCCAGGTGCTCACTGCCAGACATACGACTTCATCAACCTTACACTAAAATAATTTGCAACTGACAAATATATTAGAGGAAAAATCTGTTAAGTTGTTTTCAATGTATTTATAAGCAAAATTTAAATTTTTTTTCTTGAAACGAGATAAAAAATTATTAAAAATATAAGTCTGATGCAGTACGACAGTATAGGTATTACTGGCATTACGAGCCACCACTGACTATATGCAATATAAAAATGTATGACTTTTTCTTATGGTATAAATCCTATCATTCTCACTTCATGTTTCATACAACTCCATGATGCAAATTATTAAATAATATATTTTGTAATTAAACACTTCACATACTGTACAGTACTTTCATTGGCACTGAATTCATTGTTGAACACTTTTTATATAATTATCCATATTGAATCTGCATTGTTTTTTATTAACATTAGATGCAGTGTAGCGTGTTCTACTTACTGCCCTCAGGCACTTCTATTATTGTTATATTTCTGGGGAAGCATTCAAGGTATAGAAGGTTATACAGCAGCTGGGGAATGAGGGAGATGAAGCAATCAGCCATGATCAATGGAAGATGATGGGTAACTCCAATTCCCTTGATAAAGAGCTCTTCACCAACATCATGGCATGTGTATATAAGGAGACTGCTAACACAGAAAAGCCTCAAAAACAGCATCATCAAAATTTTGAGCAAAGACAGTCTGAAAAAAAGGGCTCACAAACTGCATATTAAAGTTACCTGCATTTAGTGACTGGGAGGATTCCTACATTCACATAATTAATTTTTTTATGTGCAGAGTTCTGTAGAAAATTTAGGCTATTAGGGTTTGTTGATAGCTGGGATGTGATTATAGCATTATTCTTTATTTGATGATAATTCACCCTTTTCTATATGTACATTATATATTTCATTCCTGTTTTTTTCATCACAGTAACAAATTTTTCTCAAATTTAAGTATTCTTACTTAATATTTAATTCTGATAAAGGTTCTGTCTTACCTCTTGATACTGCTCTTCATTTTCATCCTCCTGTTGTTGTCCTCTTCCCATTACTGCCAGGAGAACTCCAATGTCTTCGTGGATTTTCATCAATTTTTGACGTAAGGCTTCCCGGGCTCCCTATTCAGAAAGTACAATAATAATAATAATAATAATAATTCTAGGTAGTAGGTTGGTAGACAGCAACCACCCAGGGAGGGTGGTTGCTGTCTACCAACCTGTCTGCCAAGTGAGTGTAGAACGAAAGCCTGTAATTGTTTTACATAATGGTAGGATTGTTGGTGTCCATTTTTCTGTCTCATGAACATGCAAGGTTTCAGGTACGTCTTGCTACTTCTACTTACACTTAGGTCACACTACACATACATGTACAAGCATATATATACACACCCCTATGGGTTTTCTTCTATTTTCTTACTAGTTCTTGTTTTTGTTTATTTCCTCTTATCTCCATGGGGAAGTGGAACAGAATTCTTCCTCCGAAAGCTATGCGTGTTGTAAGAGGCGACTAAAATACCAGGAGCAAGGGCCTAGTAACCCCTTCTCCTGTATAAATTACTAAATTTAAAAAGAGAAACTTTCGTTTTTCTTTTTGGGTGACCCTGCCTCGGTGGAATACGGCCGGTTTGTTGAAAGAAAGAAGAAGAAATAATAATAATAATATTAATAATAATGAATGACTGTTTATGATGATTTATGATTATTAATGATGATGACCGATTATGGCTGATGATGAGTAACAATGAATGATGACTGATGAGTGACAATGTATGATGACTGATAATAACTGACAATGAATGATGATTGATGATGATGAAAACATAGAAGAACATTCTCAAGTGAACTAAGAAATCAAAGACAAGTGGACAAGAAGAGATCTTTCTTTCTTCTTTCAACAAACCGGCTGTATCCCACCGAGGAAGTGTGGCCCAAAAAGAAAAACAAAAGTTTATCTTTTTAAATTTAGTAATTTATACAGGAGAAGGGGTTATTAGCCCCTTGCTCCCGGCATTTTAGTCGCCTCTTACAACACGCATGGCTTACGGAGGAAGAATTCTGTTCCACTTCCCCATGGAGAAAAGAGGAAATGAACAAGAACAAGAACTAGAAAGAAAATAGAAGAATACCCAGAGGGGTGTGTATATGTATATATGCTTGTACATGTATGTGTAGTGTGACCTAAGTGTAAGTAGAAGTAGCAAGACATACCTGAAATCTTGCATGTTCATGAGACAGAAAAAAGGATACCAGCAATCCTACCATCATGTAAAACAATTACAGGCTTTCGTTTTACACTCACATGGTAGAACGGTAGTACCTCCCTGGGCGGTTGCTGTCTACCAACCTACTACCTAAGACAAGAAGAGATATGATAACAATATACAAGGTAATAAAAGAATAGACAAAGGCTTTTCGCATCGTATACCGGAATAAGATGCCACACATTTAGATAAAGAAAAAATAGGAACAAGAGAACACTGAGAAATTTTTCTTTTATAAATACAGAAGAATACTGGAGTAAATTGAAAAAGAAGGTAAAAAAAAAATAGGATGAACATATAATATTAGTGAAGATGGGACACCACATGCATAGCACTGCTCTTGATAGATATGAATAAATAATTATAGAAGCACTATAGCATCTCTGACTGATGAGATATTCAAATTTTTTTAGTTCTTTGCATAGTATACAATGTGTGATTTACATGTTATAAAATACTGTTAAGTACAAAGAAAGTTACTGTCATTCCTCACCATTACAGGCAGAATAATACTAATGCTTAAATCCTGCTTAAAACTAGACACAGGTTATGGAGTGGTAAATTTTAATTGTTTATTATTTTACATTATTACAAAAGAGAGGTAGCCAAAAATGTTATAATATCTAACATGTAATCAAAACAGACAAGAGGGCTACAGAGGTAGTCTAATTTTGGGGGGAAGGGGAGGAGAGGGAGAGAGGGAAGGAGAAGACAGAGGAAGAGAGACGAGAGGGATGAAGGGAGGAGAGAGGAAGGGAAAGGGAGGAAGGAGAGAGGAAAGGAAGAGAGGAAGAGAAAAAGAGGGGAAGAAAGGACAGGAGGGAGAGAGGAAGGAAAGAAGAGAGAAAGAAAAAGAGGTAGGAGCTAAGAGAGGAAGACAGAGTAGCTACAGTCTAAACACACTGAATAAACTCTTACTCGTAAACACAACCATATTACTAACATTCTTTTGATTTCACTTCCTTTCAGGGACTCACCACAAAATTAAATAAAACTGGCTCAATGAGAATTTCTGCTTGAACAGCAGGTGCCCCACTATAATTAATTTGAACTTGAGATAAGAAGTGGTTGTATATTTTCTTTTTTTCAACAAGTCGGCCGTCTCCCACTGAGGCAGGGTGACCCAAAAAAAAAAGAAAATCCACAAAAAGAAAATACTTTCATCATCATTCAACACTTTCACTTTTAACACGCTAGCTGTTTCCCACCGAGGCAGGGTGACCCAAAAAGGAAAAAAACTTATCATAATCATTCATACATAATCAATGTCCTGGCAGAAGGTACAACTTAATAAATTTTCAATTTATCCTGAACAAACATCAAGATTAACTTGATATTGTTGCAGGATGACCCTACATGTCATGTAGCCTCATGTCCAATTTGTGAGTTAGCTGAGAATTGTTGAAGCCACAGAAATACAATGGTCTAAATATTCAAACCTTTGCATAGGAGTGAAAAGCCAGACTGACACAAGCTGCCCACCACACCCGCCATGCTACAATTACCGCTGAAACTGGAACCTCCTGCAGCAACTGCCGTCTACAGAGTTAAAGCAGAAAAGAATCATTACTAACAATGCTAATGCTTTTTGTATATCTTTTTATTTAAATTGTAAACTTCATCAGGTGCTGTTAAATATTAAAATATAATTTAATTACTGGAACAAAATGCTACTGAGGAGCTGTTAAATCTGGTTAAGTTTTATATACATATACCACGTACAACATGCATTATAAAACAAACGTTGATAAAATCTTACGGAAGCTTTCCTTCTTTTCCCAATTCTTCGATGGCTTTTTGCACAGCAGTCTTCATGACTGTGTGTGAAGCATCTAGAAGCTGCTGCATGGCTGCACCCACACTCAAACTCTCCTCACCCACATGCACATGGCAAGCAAAGGGAAGATGTTCACCTTCTTCACTCACTAAGCCAGTTACAAAATCACTGGCTGCTTTTATTGATGCTACATTGTTGAAAATCTGATGAAGGACAAATAATTATGTCACCTTTCTGTACTGTATATGCTCTTACATTACCCTAATTTTTTTTTTCCATTCATTTTACAATTTTCTCATACTGTAGTGCAAAGAGGGATTAATTCTTCAATCAGACAAACATTTTAACTCCTAAATATAATGGTATGCATGCATGGAGATTAACTACAGGAAACAATCATAACTGAGGCAGGATTACTTTCAAGTGGCCATTTTGAAAAATTTGCAGCATACAAGACCACAAAGTAGTCAATGTATTTCAAGATTAAAATAAAAATAAAAATGAGAATTAAACTATAGAAGCTTTCAACTGTATCCAAGTTTTTTATTTTTTAGGTTTCAGAAGCATAAGAGCATGTGAGTTCAGAAAAAGCAGTCACACACAATGGTTAACAAAATTGCCCTCATGGTAAAATATCACTAGCTGGGTCTCGCAAGGATCAGTACTCGACTTGATAATGTTTCTTATTTGCGCTCTATATGACTTGCCAGAATAAGTAAAAACGTGTTTGTTTTTTTCTTTTGGGTTATTTTAACCCTTTCAGGGTCTAGAAACCAAATTTCAGTGTGCACCAGGGTCCAAGAATTTTCAAAAAATAATTTTATTTTTTCTTATGAAATGGTTGAGAATCTTTTTCTGAAGGTAATAAAACAAAAGTATGAAATATGATGGAAAATTGATGAATTTATGCTCTTACGAATTTTGATGTGTCAGCAATATTTACACATCGGCGATTTTGCCGACTTTGACTCCTATTTTAAGCCAATTACATTATTTTAGTCGACCAAATTCTTAGCTATTTCACTAGTATTATTTCTATTCTATTGATTGAGCACAAGAAATCGCCAAGTCAACTGTTTCAACTACAAAAGAAAGTGATTGGAAACTGGTAATTTGGCCAATTTAATGCAAAGTTCAAAATATTCCAATTACAAAATAGGGTCCAGAATAAACAACGCAGGCATTCCTGGCACTAAAGTAACATTTCCTCTGTTCATTAGTTATGTTTCCAGGCTTTAAAAAATAAATTTCCCCATTTGACTTTTTTATTCATATAATGAATTTTTATTCAATGCAAAAAATATAAAATTTACTGTTATGCAATATTGTAATAATTGTATAAATAACATCATCACATTTGTGAATGTATATTAGACCCATCAGCTGGCGTGTATTAGACGTGGAGGTCATTGTTTACTCTTGAACATCACAAAAAATTTAACATTTCCGTTACTTTGATCTCAGTTTCAAGTCATTTCCAGTACTAAAACCAATCAAAATCCTCTCTATTTCTGTAACATATCTTCCATTCTATCAAAGAGACCAAGTAATCACAAAAACAACTAATAAAAAACATACGAAAAAACACTACCAAAGCCCTCTGTTTTAATCGAAAATTAGGGTCTCAGTTGTTTTTCTCATTTTTGAACTGTGTGCTGCAGGATTTGTTTTATTTGGTGCACACATACCACATAGATTGTTTCTCTCATGTCTAGGCCCAATTTACCCCCCACAGCTTATCAAGTGAATTGAGCTCATGGCGTAGATCTACGGTTAGACCCTCAACTCAAAGCCATAGAACTATGGCACGGACCGTGAAAGGTTAAGTAATTTACACTATGTATGAAACTGTACTTATGGTACCTGTACCAAAATAAACTTACTAATATGTTTCAAGTGTTGCAAAAACCCAATCCAAAATAAAAAGTGTGTGTATATGACTAACCATCAATCTGCCCCAAACGAAGATCCATGTTTTGTGTGCATAGCGGTCTGACTTTGATTTTCTCCATAAGAAAGAATGTAAAAAAAAAAAAACGTAGATCACGTTTAGAGCCCCTCAAGAAGGTTCCTTGATGTTGGTGAGGGGCTCTGATTTAGGGAATGGATCTGTGCTCCAGTTCCCCGAATTAAGCCTGAATCCCTCCCACTTTCCCCCCCCAGGCGCTGTATAATCCTCCGGGTTTAGCTCTTCCCCCCTAGATTATAATAAATAATAATATGTTTAGAGCGGAATGCGAGTGAACGTAGATCTACGTTTGGACAGTTTAACCCTTTCAGGGCTTCCAACGTACTAGTATGTCTTGTGCACCAGGGTTATTGAAGGAAGTACTAGTATGCGTAAATTCTGGAGCCTTCAAATCTAGCGAGAGAAAGCTGGTAAGCCTACATATGAAAGAATGGGTCTATGTGGTCAGTGTGCACAGTATAAAAAAATCCTGCAGCACACAGTGCATAATGAGAAAAAAAAACTTTGACCATGTTTTTGGTTTAAAACAGCAACTTTGCAGTGTATTTTCGTATGATATTTATCGTTGTATTCTAGTTTTCCTGGTCTCATTTTATAGAATGGAAGACATATTACAGAAATTGAGATGATTTTGACTGGCTTCACAAAGAAAAGTACCTCAAAATTGAGCTCAAAGTAGCAGAAATGTTCGATTTTTACCGAAGTTCAAAAGTAAACAAATCATGCCACACGACCAATACACGTCAACTGGGGAGTCTAATATTCTTTCACAAGTGCGCTGATATTATTTATACCATTTCTACACTAATGCAGTAGTTTGCATAACAGTAAATCTTCTATTTTTTGTGAGAATAAAAATTCAAAGCGGAAAGCAAAAAAAAGTAAGAGGGGCGTGGGGATGTGAATAATGAACAGAGAAAATGTCATTTTAGTTCCAGAAATGTCTGTCTTGTTTATTCTGGACCCTATTTGGAAATTGGCATCTTTTGAAAATTGTGTGAAATTGGCAAAATTGCCAATTTCTGACCACTTTACTGGATAGTTGAAATCGGTAAATATGTTGTTTCTTGTACTCATTCGATAGGAAAAATACAGTTCTAGCGAAATAATTATCATTTTTGTCGACTAGTACACTGGAATTGGCAGAAAATAGGGCTCAGAGTGGGTGAAATCGCTGATGCATAAACATCGTCGAGACAGCTAACTTCACGAGAGCACAATTCCGTAAGTTTTCCATCAAATTTCATACTTTTGGTGTCATTATGATCGGGGAAAGATTCTCTATCATTTCATAAGAAAAAATAGTTTTTTTTTCCGAAAAATTTTCGACCCTGAGAACAAGTTCAGGAGAGGGCCTCTCGACCCTGAAAGGGTTAAGGGTTAAATCCCTACAAGATATGGATAAATTAAACAAATAGTGTGACATATGATTTAATTCAAAAGAGCCAAGTACCAGGTGGTTTGGTCATTTAGAGAGGACAGAGCAAGATAGAATGACTTGGAGGATGAATAAATCTATAGTGGAAGGGAGGAGGGGAAGGGGTCATCCTAAGAAAGGATGGAGGAAGGGGGTAAAAGAGGTTTTGTGTGTAGGGGGCTTCGACATCCAGCAGGCATGTGTTTTTTTTTTTTTTTTCAACAAGTCGGCTGTCTCCCACCGAGGCAGGGTGACCCAAAAAGAAAAAAAATCCCCAAAACGAAAATATTTTCATCATCATTCAACACTTTTACCTCACTCACACATAATCACTGTTTTTGCAGAGGTGCTCAGAACACAACAGTTTAGAAGCATATACGTATAAAGATACACAACATATCCCTCCAAACTGCAATATCCTGAAACCCCTTCTTTAGAGTGCAGGCATTGTACTTCCCATTTCCAGGACTCAAGTCCGGCTATATAAAAATAACCGGTTTCCCTGAATCCCTTCACTAAATATTACCCTGCTCACACTCCAACAGATCGTCAGGTCCCAAATACCATTCGTCTCCATTCACTCCTATCGAACACGCTCATGCAACGGCCTGCTGGAAGTCCAAGCCCCTTGCCCACAAAACCTAGGTTGTAGGTTGGTAGACAGCAACCACCCAGGGAGGTACTACCGTCCTGCCAAGTGAGTGTAAAACGAAAGCCTGTAATTGTTTTACATGATGGTAGGATTGCTGGTGTCTTTTTTTCTGTCTCATAAATACGCAAGATTAAAAGGTATGTCTTGCTACTTCTACTTACACTTAGGTCACACTACACATACATGTACACGTTTATTTATACACACACATCTGAGTTTTCTTTGATTTTATCTTAATAGTTCTTGGTCTTATTACTTTTCCTTTTATATCCATGGGGAAGTGGAATAAGAATCTTTCCTCCGTAAGCCATGCATGTTGTGAAAGTCAACTAAAATGCCGGGAACAATGGGCTAGTAACCCCTTTTCTTGTAAAGATTACTAAAAAGAATAAGAAGAAGAAAATTGGAAATGAATGGTTTTGGGGACCTGACGAGCTGTTGGAGTGTAAGCAGGGTAATATTTTGTGAAGGGATTCAGGGAAACCAGTTAGCTGGGCTCCTGAGTCCAGAGGTGGAAAGTACAATGCCTGCACTGTAAAAGAGGAGTTTGTGATATTTTCTGTTTGGAGTGACATATGAACTGTCATACCTGAGCACCTCTGCAAAGACAGTGACAATGTGTGAATTATGGTGAAAGTGTTTCTTTCTTCTTTGGGTCACCCTGCCTCGGTGGGAGACGGCTGACATGTTAAAAAAAGAGTACCATGTAATTAAACTGGGAGAAAGCAAAAACAGGCTACTAGTATATGAAAAATACAGACTGATAAAAAACTGAAAGTGTCAGACAGGAATCTATGAGAGGATAGCAAAAATAATGTGTCAGTAAGAAACTCTTACGTTACACTATACACTAGCAACCTTCAAAATTTTTTATTTATATTTTTTTTATTAACACATCGGCCATTTCCCACCAAGGTAGGGTGGCCTGGAAAAGAAAACCTTTTACCATCATTCACTCCATCAATGTCTTGCCAGAGGCGTGTTTACACTATAGTTATAAAACCGCAACATTACCACTCCTCCTCCTGAGTGCAGGCACTGCACCTCCCATCTCCAGGACTTAAGTCCAGCCTGTCTGTTTCCCTGAATCCCTTCATAATAATTACCCTGCTCACACTCCAATAGCACACTGAGTCCAAAAAATAATTTGTCTCCATTCACTCCT